TGAGAAAATTATACTCCTTAGAGTCTACTGGTGGGACTATAAAATGGGCTGCCACTGTGGAAAATGGCACAGGCTTACTCAGAGAGTTAAATACACGATTCCCAAGTGACCCTGCAGTGTCAGCTCTGAGACATGTATCTAAGAGTTGGAAGTAAACATTTACAAAAACACTTGGACACAAATTTTGCAGCAGTGTTATTCATCATGACCCCCAAAAGAGAAACAACACAAATGTCCACCAAATGAAGAACAGAGAGGTCATGAATCTATGTGATGGGGTTGGGTTTGAACACACAGCAGAACTTTGCATTTTAACATCATAGGGACTTTTGAGAATTGTGATGTCCAGATCAGTGAAACCAGAATTCCTGGGCTGGGATCCTGGCTGTGGTGGGTTTTTTTTTTTTTTTTTTTGTATCAGGGATAGAACTCACAATTTCACAATTTTGCATTTTCCAAGTAGACACTTATGCCACTAAGCTAAATCCCCTGGCCTGTGGTGGGTTTTAAAAGCTCTCTACACCGCTGTCACTTGCAGCCAAAGTTGAAAACCCCTGGCTTTAAGCAGCAGGACTTCTGAATGGGCAGGTGGGCTTGTGCAGGGATTCCTGCTTGTCTCCTCTCCCCAGTTACAGCCATCCAGGGATGACAGCTACAGCTACTGGGGACAGGCTCTTCTTCCAAATCAGGAAGGCTCCTTAATTTGTTTGTTTTGTTTTGTTTTTGGAGACAAGGTTTCACTATGCAGTTCAGGATGTGTGGAACTCACTTTCTAGACCAGGCAGGTCACAAACCTGCATGAATTCTCCTGCTTCAGCCTGCTGAGTGCTAGGATTACAGGCATGTTCCACCACGCCTGGCAAGACTCCTTAATGTCTCCAAATTGATTCACACATTCATTTTCCTAAGTGACTCAGAGCATCCAGAAGTTTAGAGGGAGTATATTTCATGCTTTCAGGTCCACCCTCATTTTGGACTAGGTTACGGTGACTCAACTGTGAGCAGAGATGCATTTGTTCCACTTGGGAACGGAAACCAGATTCAGTCCAGAGGTGTGGGCATTGCCGCTCTGGACAGCTAGATTTTATAGTCAGTGAACTCGTGAGTGGAATGTTAAAACCCAAGGATTTTACACAAGCTTGGGCTCTGTCTTTTATAATTATCATCCGACTGTGCACTCTAATTTATTATTTAACCACCATTCATTTGGGCTCTGAGTCTTCACCTCTGGTGTCCCACACCCTCCTTTGCAACAGGGGCACCCAGCTGCTTGGCCGCCACCTCTGCCCTGTTTGCCAAACCTGTGCATGGTGGTGTCCAAAGCCACAGTGGTCCTGAATAAATCCACCACGGATCCCTGAAGCTGGAACCCAACTGGTGAAAAACATGGAAATGAGTGAAGAAACAGAAGTGGGAAAAATGGAGCCGCAACAGCGATGCTGAGCTTGGGGTTCCGAGGCTGAGCCCCTCGCCTCCCCGGGGCCCTGTCAGGGTGGTAAAACAGCACATCCCACAGCGACAGCTGTGAAAGAAAACCCTGGAAGGGAGATGGTGCCGGCAGGAAACATCTGGAGCGGAGGAAACCCCGACTCGGAAGGGTCAGGAGTTACAAGCCCTGACCCGGGACTGTGTTCATAGCCTGCAGCCTGCCTGCAACGAAAGTAAAAGGCACAAGTCCTGCATGGGTGTCGGGAGCCGAGCCAGAGGACCTGCCTAAGCAGATGAGGCCTGTAGGAAAGAGCGAAGCCTTCAGTAGATTACCCCTCCCATCGAATGATGCCAAGATGGCGCCCGTTTCCTACTTCCGTATTCTTACCCTCAGCTTCTGCCTAGTTACAGCTGATGTCCCCCAATCAGACTTTGCCACGCCTTGTTACCCTATAGGACAGGACTATAGATATAAGGACAGAGCAGGAGGTAGAGAGGAAGGGAAGACACGCAGACCATAGAGAGTGGAGGACTACGCGGGGTTACTCAACAGAGAGAGCCCCACTGGAGAGTCCGATCAGGGAGGAACGTTCCGGGGACGACCTGTGTGGAGAGTCAATAAAGGCGACCTCTGTCTCTGCATTCTGGTGTGTCGTGTGAGTCAGTTCCCCTGCCGGTCGGGGGTTCAGGGGCCGCGCGGCGCACATGGGGCTCAGCCAGGCCTCACATCTTGTACAGCAGTGACACCCACGGCCGAGAGGCGAGCTGGAACCATCCCTCCCCATCCGGAAACCCTCTCGCTGTCTGGGTCATCGGTCCACCTCATCTAGAAGCGCCTTCCATCTTACCGATGTCCCTGCCACTTGGTTTTGCCTGTTTTTGAGCTCCACATGCACAGATCATATTGTGTTTTTTCAGTTGTGCATGGCTTCTTCTGCTCGGCATGGTTTTGAGGTCTGCCAATATCTCTGACTTATCCCATTGCTGTGTGGTATTCTTTTCTTTCTTTCTTTTTTTTTTTTTTGCTATATTTCATAATATAAATGTGTCTCCTTCAGTCTCATGTTAGTGGGCAAACTCCAAAGGATGGTTTTGAGTGTGTGGCTGTTAAAATAAAGCCACTGTGAACCACAGTGTCCACACCTTTTTGTGGATATAACATTCATTTTTTTTCCTTGGGTATGTTGCCAAGACAGGAATCGTAGAGTGGTGCATAGTTAACATTAACAGAAGCTGTCAAACAGCTTTTCCAAAGTGGCTGTATTGTGTCACAATTTCACCAACAGTGGGGATTTCAGTGCATGTCTTTTTGGAGGATGAACAGGAAATCAGTAACTATCTTAATCTCCTCCAAGTCCTGGGAATGGGAAATTTGCAAAGCCCTGTGAGATAAGGACCCAGCAGTCTAAAGCTGATAAAAACAATAAAAACAGACCAGAAGACAGCCTATAATTGTCCTATCCCCTCCAGTGCCCCCAGGAAGGAAATTACGAGCTATTTGTAGATAGTTTCCTAGCATGGACATTTGCTAGTTAAAATGGATAGGGATCTTATGTAATGGAAGATGATACAATAATTTTCAACTAGGGCGGGGGATTTAGCTCAGCAGCATAAGCACCTGCCTTGCAAGCAGGCAGTCGTGAGTTCGATCCCCAGTACCAATTAAAAAAAATTTCCAATTAACTAACTGAAAAGTAATAATACAAAAAAGAGTAGGTGACAATGTGTTCATACTGTATAGAGCATGAGAATGTTTTGAGTTGATTAAAAGTACAGATACAAATTCCTACCTATAGAGATTCAAATTTGATGATATCTAACTTAAGAGAATTAGAATTAATGGGACTCAGGAGTAAGCATTTTAAGAGATATCTCAAGTGATTATCATCATTTGGTGTCACAGAAACCATCTAAAAGCAAACTATCCATTGAGAAGCACTGTGTGTGAGGAATACATCTATAATCACGGCACTCCTGGGAAGCATGGGAACAGTGCAGGTTTCAAGCCCAGCCTGGGCAATTCAGTGATTTATGAGACCCTGTTTCAAAAAAAAAAAAAAAAAAAAAAAAGGCTGAGGACAGAGTTCAGTGCAAAAACCTTAGGTTCAAATCTGTATACTATAAAATCAAAACAGCTCTGCACACCTCTGCTCTGGTCTGGATGGGTGACAGGCCAGGTGTGCTGCTCTGTGCAGTCAGGAGGCCCAGACTTCTCCACGTTCTCCAAAGAGTCCTCCCCACTCAGGTGGCAGGCTGGAAAGAGCTGAGAGCTGGCATGGGTGGTCTGGGCCTGGTCCACAAGGGGTCCACTGGGCCCTGTCCAGTCCCGTGACACACAGCAGGGATGGGAGGGGTGGAAATGGAGCCGAAGGACCAGGTTGGGCGAGTCCCCCAATGCCCCTGGCACAAGGCAGAAGAGTGAAGGGAGGGGCAGGGCCACACTGAGTGCCACCCTGTACCATGGGAGGGAAAGAGAAGGCTGTGCGGGAGGCCCGACCCCCGCTAGGCCCCGCCGGGCCTGCGTCCTGGAGGAACGGATGACTAACCCAGCAGATAAATCATGTCTTTCTACTTGGGAGCTTGCCTGCTAATGAGGTACTAGTGCATAAACAGTTTGTTTCAACTCTAAACATTTTTTTCAAGCAAAGTAACTGCTGGGGCACAATTATAATGTAAGAACACTTTTATAAAATAACAAACTTGTAGGTATTTCGTGAGCAATTAGTGGTCTCTGACCAAATTTATGTTCGGTGGTTTCTGATGGATCCACAGTGTGTGAAGCCCAGCTGCACACCTCTGCTGGGCACAGAGTCAGAGTAATCATCTGTACTTTAAGGCACCCTGGGCTGGTCAAGGACACCTGTAAGAGCCCCCTCCCCTTGTTCCTCAGAATGGCTCCATATTATGGTGATGCTCACCCTGTAAGGGTGTCCCAGGAGGGTTTCTGTTATAATAAACCATTTCATTGTTTCAACAAACCTGTTCAAGACCAGCCTGCCTGTCAATGTATGGCTCAGTGCACAAAACCAATGATGTAATGTTTTATCACTTGCTTTGTACCTGCCACGTCTAAATTCTATATAAACTAAGCTCTCTGTAAACTCAGGGCTGTTACCTTTGTGGAATTATCCTGCCACGGTGCACTGGCGTGAAGATCCTGCAGTCTGCTGCCGTAAAGATTAAATGCCGCCTTCTTATCTCCTCGGTGCAGAGTCTTCCTTTCAGTTTGGTTTGGCTTGGGAATTTTCCCGCAACATAACTACTAGGAAATAATAAGTGCTTTTACTGGGCTCCCCTGTGCCTTGCTCTAAGAAAAAATAGCATAATGTGGGCTGCACTGGTCGAGGACTGAAAGCCATTCCTTTCTTCTTCCTTGGTAAGGAACACCAGTGCTCCTCAGCCAGCAAGTGATGCTGTGTTCCAGGAAAGGGCGGTAACTGATTCCAGGCAATCTCGGTAATCTAACTCACCTTATCCATGCAGCAGATACTACCTCCAGCTCTGTGCCGGTCTATCTTGAGACCTTGTGCCAATCACAGGCGAGGGGCAGGGATAAGGCCCAACTCCAAAGACAGGGGAGGGGAGGACTGGTAGGGAGCTCCTGCCAATGAACAAAAATGAAAGAGGCCTAATGAGAACACTGGGGCTTTTCCTTCCTGTGTTTGGATGATATCATGTGGGATGTGGTGCTGGATCTGGAGCAGCTGTTTTGTGGTCATGAGGAGAAAGAAGAGAATCACAGAAAGGATAATTTAGCAGTCTGGCCCAGGTAACTAAACATCCCTGGAGTCACTGCCCCTATTTTTCTGGAAAATGACATCCTTATAAGCTGCTTTTAGTTAGATACTCAGTCTCTTGCAGCCAAAAGCTCTGAACAAATACACATGGTTTTCTTTTCATTATTTATTGTGAGTATAAATGAATGTATAAATATTTTAAGGAATGAAGAACCTGACATTTTTCATTTCCTTCCAAGCTCTGTTGTTTGTTCACAGAGGGATTTTTATCCCAGGTATCTTGGTGGCCTGTGACATTTTTGGAAGCCTCCCTGCACCCAGTTCAAATGGGTACCTGGAAAACTTTATGCTCTAATTCTGAACTTCCTAGCTGAACCAATGGAACTGCAGGTAAGGAATTAAGAGGGTAAATGGACCATATTTGAAATGAATAATGAAAATTTGGGGAATAACCTTTAATTTTGGAATGAGTAGATCAAATTTTACCAGGATGATTTGCACTGGAGTCACAAAAATTTCAGGTGTCACCCAGCTTCTCACTGTCTTGATAGTGACAGTAAATGGGTATCTTTCCCGTGCACTTGCTGTTAGCTCCAAGCCTCGCATCCCTCCTTGTTTCCCTGATTACTCGTGACACTTTTGGAGAGTCTACTACACTGGATTCAATAACTGGGCCGTATATTTCCCATTGGAACTCAAATCAGGTTAATAGGAAAACAAAAAAGTTACTATCATATGTCCCGCTATTTTTAAATTTAGAGTGTGCCTTCATTTTTCAAATCTAGTCAGTAACTTTAGAACCAGCGAATAGACCTTTTCTTTGATATCCCTATGTCTCAGGCTAGCTAGGGTCTGTAATAAGAGGTCCTCAGGTGGTCCACTGCACTTTAACCAACATGGGTGTTTATTTCCCTAGCCGGGTCCCTTCCTAGACAAGAATCGAGGGTTGGTATATTGGTTGCTGATGTTGAGCTCCTGGGTAGATACTAGTTCTGCTGAGAAAGTATTTCCTATCCCCTTTCCTCTGGGAATAAATCAGACTTGTGCTTCTCTGCCCTCTTGGGGTCTGTTTTGGTCATGCAGTTTGCCCTGGACAAGGAAACAGGAGGTCGGTGGGTGTCAGAGAAGCAATCAGTTGCCAGGGCAAGGCAAAGTGTTGTGGAAGCACTGTTGATATGAAGGACAGCTGCCCCAAATACTGGTAGAGCTGCAGTAGATTTGTGGGAGTGGGAGGCACCCGCTGCTTGTGAGCCATCGAGAATAGAGGCTGTCAGTGCAGCTAACACTCACACCTCCTGATAATACACAGACAGGGCTCTGCTGTGCGCTTAGCTTCAGTCCCGAGGTGCTGCTGCTGTTCCCGTGATCTGTGACTTCCACCTGCTCCTAGAAAGATTGCATTTTAGCTGGGACTGGGCAGGAGATAACAAGACAGACTGCTGCCGCTTTGAGGGCGAAGGAACTGCAGTTATCTGAGCCAGGCAGGAGGATGCGCTTGCCAGCTCACAAGCCGGTCCTGGCCCCTCGCTGACTGTGCTCAGGAGGCCTCATTTCCATGCTGCGTGGCCCTCTCCTTGGGGCTGCTCGGCATAACATGCTCTCCCAGAGCAAGTAAGCCCAGAGAGAGGGAAAGAAGGAATAGGGTGTTGTGCTGTGTTGTATTGTATTGTATTGTTTTGTACTGGATTGGGCCCAGGGCCTTGGTCCTAGCCCTTTTTTATTTTGAGGCAGGATCTTGCTAAATTGGCCTCAAACTTTCCATCCTTCTTGCCTCGGCCTCCCAGAGTGCTGGGATTCCAGGACTACTCTCCATAAATGTTGTTTTACCCATCACATATATTTCCATGGTTTGAGTGTCCTTTGTCCCCTCTAACACTCACATCGACACTGGATCGCCGTGTGGTGGCAGCGGTGGGAGGCGCGGTCCTTAAGGAGCCTTCAGGTTGTTAGAGGGTTAACACCTTTCTGATGGGGCTGGGTTGCTTACAGTGCAGTTGCATTAGTTACTGGGAGAGCGGCTGTTATAAATCAAGGCCATGTCCATGTTTTTCCTCCCCGAGTGTGTTGACCATCTTTCGGATTTCCCCATGTTGTGAGACAGAACGGGACCCTCACCAGATGTGGTTGCCCAGTCTTGGATTTTTCAGCCTCTGCAACCATGAGCCTAAATAAATTTCTTCCTTTATGAATTCCTCAGGTTTGGGCATTTTATATAACAGCAGAAAATGTACCAAGACTGTAGGAGGGGTAATAATACTTAGCAGCAAGGCAGCCAGATTCCACATTAAATCAAGAAGAAGGGAAGAAGGGCTTAGGGGACGACCAGAATGCTCTACGCGATTCTCCCCTCCGGCCACACAGATATGCATGTGCATCTCCTTCTCATAAATTAATGTGCATTCTGTATCCTGAACATTGCATTTCTGGACTATAGTTCCTATGGCATCAAGAATTTTTATTTTTAGGGTCACTGTGCCCAGAGACTTGTTAATGCCCACATTGGAAACTGTTTTAAGAAAGAGTGGGAAGGGGAAGCTTTGATTTGGAAGAAGTGTTGCTCATCAGGAACCTTAAGAATGATTCATCTGAACTATGAGTCAGCTCATCACCGTAGTTCAGTGCTCGGATGAGTTACATAAGTGGAGATCAAATCAACCTGTCTTATGCCTTTTAAGTTTAGGTAGCAAACTCTTACAAGAAACCATGTTGAAATTTATGTTTGCAGGAGCACATTCCTTGTGCGTCTGAACCTCAAGTCTGTCCGGTGGGGATGGAGGTGGGAGGAAGAGGATCGCTGGGATCCCAATCTTCCACGTTCCTATGACTGTGTTAAAGAACACAACAACATGACCTCAGGCTCCGTAAACTTTCCTGCTTTGCCAGCGTAAGCAGCGGCTGATGTCCTAGACCCTTGATGACTCAAGTCCACATTACCGCCTCTTATCCGTCCACCAGGGGAAAAGAATGCAAAGTTTCCAATTACTGTCACCATCGTCACTGGTCACTTCAGCACTGAGGTTAGGCACACGTTTGAAACAATTGGTATGAAATTTTTAAATGACCTTTTAGTAGATAGTATAATATATGGAACAGGATTCATACACAGAGAGGGCAAGCACTGAGTAGCAAAATGTATCCAAGAAGGTAACAAAACCATATTTACCATGCATTTGCATTTACTTCACAAAAGCTTGTAACCTTAAAGCCCCTGAGCTGTTTGTCAGTGATCATCTTTTCATTTGATATGCCAGAATAATTTTTTTTCTGAAGTTACCATTGACTAAGAAAAGCCTGGTATTCTTTCCAAATACTTTGAGTTTGTGGGCTGTTCCTCCTGGGTTTGAATCATTCCAGTGGCTGATACTGCTTGTGGGAGCCCTCTCTCTCTTCATCCTGCCATTAACCAGGACTCCTTTATTATGAATAACAGGTACCACCCCAAAAGGGAATCTGCTAGTTCACAAAGCCAAGAAGGCTGTGGGAAGGCTGGCGGAGACTGAGGGAAGAGCCGGTCTGTCTGTGTCTGTGTCTGTGTCTGTGTCTGTGTCTGTGTCTGTGTCTGTGTCTGTGTCTGTGTCTGTGTCTGTGTCTGTGTCTCTGTTTCTGTCTCTGTCTCTGTCTGTGTCTCTGTCTCTGTCTCCCCTCCTCTCCCTTTCCTGCTTCACTCTGTCCCATCACATCATCTTACAATGCCATCCTCAAATTCTTCAGGCGAGGGGCTACAGAAGAACGAGCCAGGATAACTGGGAAAGTTCTGACAAAGGCCTCTGACTGGCCCAGCCTGGGTCAGGAGCCTGTATGCTGCCCAGGCCCGGCATCATGAGTGGCCAGCCTGGCCCTGTGTTGAGGCTGGAGGATGAGGCACTGCCCTACCACGACCACCCACAGTGAGAGGAGCTCCCTCAGGGTACAGGAGGGCGCAGGAATGGCAGGAAAAACTGTGCGAAGTTCCCAAGCCAGGCCCCCACCTCCCGCTGGCTCTCTCCTCAGGGTCAGCTGACATGTCCTGGTCTGCACTCCTACCGATGGGCCATTCGTGTTTCTCCTTTGTTCAGGTACCAGAGGGTCCCAAACACGTTCCTACCCGAGATTCCTTGGGATAAAGCGCTAAACTTAACCTTTTTACCTTCTCCTTCTAGACCTCTATTTTATCATCCCTAAAACACATTAAGGTGTTTTCCGAAACAGAATAACCGATTTTTTCCTTCCGTCCTCTCAGAGCAATGACTCAACATGCAACTAGCTTCTGAAGCATTAATTTTCTTCTCCCTGTGTGTGTATGCATACAAAGCATGCTGCCCCAATATGGGACCCTGTAACCCTAAAATTAATGCATGATTACCTCTGATGTGGGAATCCTGAGTAATTTTTATGCATTTTATTGATTTTATTGTATGTTTCCTTTACCTTTCACTTGTTTTTGTTTTTGTTCTTGAGACGGGATCTTACTCTATTTCAGTATGGTGTTGAACTCACCATGTAGCACAGGCTGGCCTCAAACTCACGGTGATCTGTTTCAGCTTCCTGAGTGTTGGAATCACAGGCATGCACCACCAAAGCTGGCTACTTTTCCTTTTTTTTGCTTCAATATACATATATATATATATACATGTCCATATGTTGTTTCTTTCAGCTTCTCACACTAGTGAGACAATACGGTATTTACACAGGCGGGTCTGATTCACTTTACATATGAGTATGGTCTCAAGCTGCATCATTTAACTATAAAAATCTCGGTGGAGCAGCGGCGCAGAATCCTATTCCAGTTTGGGGGAACTCTCTTCCTCGCCTGGGGGCCAGGCCACAGTTTCCTGCTGGGACCAGTGAGTGGGGCCGAGGCTTGGAACCCCGTCCCAGCCTGGTGGACCTTTCTCCCTCACTTGGAACAACACTTGAAGCTCAAAAATATAGGAAAATGACAAAATGAAAGACCAAAATGCAATCTCAAACATCCAGCCCATCCCAAGAAAGCCTAGGAGCCATGTGCATAGAAGAAAACATGTGCCACATACCTGAAATACCTGAAATAATAGTAACTGAAATAAAGAAGCAACTCTGGGAAGCCTTAAAGGAATTCAAACTAGAAATAATCTCTCAGGTGAAAGAAGAAATGATAAAAGAAATGAAGGAGATGCTGACCATATCTAAAGAAGACACAGTTAAAAAACTATAAAAGTCTCCAGTTTATCCTTCTTTATGGCTGAATAGTACTCCATTGTATAAAGATAGTTATACTACTGATTTCTCTGTGTTCACTGAAGAGAAAGATTTGTGTTGGTACTATCTGGACAACTGAATGCAGATGTCTTGTGCTCTGGGTGAATGACTCAGGATGACAGTGTGCAATTATGTACTACTGTTGCCCCCTGAGTTATGTTTTGAATTCTTTAGTTTTTTCTTTTCCTCCTTGAAATAAAATGAATTTGGGAAAAAAATCACATCTTTTTTGTCCATTCCTCAGTCAGTGGGCATTTAGGTTGTTTCCAAGGTCTGGCTATTACAAATTGTGCTGCTATAAACACGGGTGCGTGTATATCACTGTGGTACGATGTTTTTAATTCTTTTGGGAAGATACCCAGAAGGGGAATAGCTGGGTTGAATGGGACCTCCTATGCTAGTTTTTTGAGGACTCTCCACACTGATTTGCACAGTGGTTGACCAATCTGCATTTTGCTTCTATTTCTATAGTGAACAAATGAAACCAATTCAAGACAAGAAAGGAGGAAAGGATGGCACCTGCTGCATGCCATCCATTTTATCAAGAAGAGCAGCAGGTGTGGTCATGGTGTGCATCTGTAATCCTAGCTACTCTGCAGACTGGGCAGGAGGATCATGAGTTGAAGGCCAGCCTGGACAATTTAATGAAATAAGAAAGGGTTGGTGAGGCAGCTCAGTGGTGGAGCACTTGTCCTGGGTTTGCTCTCCAGTACAAGGGTTCTACAGCAAAAACGTTCCCTCTAAGCCTCATTGGCTAGATGGTGTCACATGACCACCACCATGGCCAGTGGGATGATGGGAACAGAGTATTGGTTTTTCCCAACCTGGCTCCCTAAAGAAGGAATACAACAGTGAAGGGGTGGAGGGATGAGTATTGGTTCTTCCACATCAACAGTGTCTGCAGTTAGCAGAGCTGGGATAACCGGAACACGCAGCGTTGTCCAGTCCTCCTCAATCCAGGATGGCTATTATCACTTTGGACTGTGACACTGGGTGTCCACAGGAAACTTCAGATAAAACTTGGAGCCCTGGTCGCTCATTAGGACTATGCATCACAGTAAGCCCTGACACGTCTCCCTTTGCACTCTGTGCCAGTGGTAATTATGGCTTCTTCACAAAGGGCTTCTTTCTTTGCAATCTTTGTTTTATGGTCACAAAAGCAAACTCAAAGAGGTTGATATTGATAACAAATCTGCATCTAGAAGGACATGGAATCCTCATTTCCTCCTGGCACATGCCATTCAAGGCTGGACTCTCAGTACGGGGTGTGATTCTTGTTCCGGTTAGGGACACGTTCTGCCCATGGTTAACTCTTCTTGTCTCAGATTGCTCTTCAATCTTGGCTTGCATGTGCTCAACAGACTTCTACCCTGATCTTAGACCTGCTTGCATCCCTCTCTGCCACGCCGGCAGATCTGTGCCGAGTCTGTTTTGCCCACAGTCAGCTTTGCAGTGTGCCCCATCCCTGTCCGTCCACCGGTATCTACGAGGATACTTCAGACTGCAAATCATGCTGTCTGCTCAGGATTAATTACACACCCACACACCTGCCTCATTCTCACCGCGCCCTTCTTTTTCCCAGCAAGAAGCCAGCATCTGCCCGGCACCGACAGATGCTCAGGCCCCTAATTAGCTGCCAGGGATGGGCTCCTCGCTCAGTCCTGGGCTCACTGCGCACTTGTTTAACGGAAAAGGATTGTGAGGTAGACGGTGCAAAAGCTGGCCAGGGATGTTCAATAGGATCTTGTAAATGTTTGCATTTTGGAAGAGTGTCGTGTTTCCACTTTGGAGCTCTTTATTTTAAACATCTGGAAACGATGAGCTAGCGTCATAGGTAAGAGAGTAGAAGCGGATGCCAGAGTCATTCTGGATGGATTAACTTTATCAATCTCCACCTTCTCCTCCTTTCTTACCAACAGACCCTGATTTTCCTCAAGCAGCAATGTACCAACTTACAAGTGCTCACTGCCCAAGACTCTCTTTCTTAGGGGTGGCCATGGGACCCACTCTGATCTGTCAGATGTAGGTGGAAGGTGCTAGGTGGGGACTTCTGGAAGTTTCTTTTCTTGGTGGGGCAGGAATCCTTGAAGGGAAGGCCTTAGCTGGCTTTTGCCCTTTGCTTTTTCTCTGTGTCCCACCTTCACTCCTTCCTTTCCCTCACTTTTCTTTGACATGTAGACTCACTATCACAGCATCCATCTTCTGTCCATTAACGTAAGAGTTGTATGCTAACGATAGAAAAATGGGAAGTAGAATGACCCTACGTCCTTGGCAATATTAAAACTGGGCCTGGTGGTGCACACCTGTAATCCCAGCACTTAGGAGGCCGAGGCAGGAGGATTGCAGTGAATTTGAGGCCAGCCTGACCTACCTAGAGAGTTCAAGCCAAACCTGAACTACATAGAGAGACCTGTCTCAAACACACACACAAACAAAAATTTAGAGCTCCTCTAATAGCCTTGGGTTACCTCCATGCTGATGTCTTATGTAAAAGCAAACAAGAAGCCTATTGATTAATCAGTTGTTCCTTGCAATCAGACACAATGTCAACTGAGATATGAAGATACTTAATAAGCTCTGACAGTAAATGGATGCATGTACACTTCAGAAATCTTTGAAACAGTGCTGCTCAACTTTCTGAGCCTACAAACTGTTTGGGGACCTTGGTAAAAGTGCAGATTGTGACCCAGTAGACCTGAGTTGGAATCTGCGATCCTGTGTGCTCATATGTTTGCCTCTAATGCTGATGAAGCCAGCCCCAGGCCACACTTTGAACAGCAAGGATCTGGAAGATAACATCTCTTTCAGGTAGCTCTTCTGAGAAGTTACTCTGTTTCTCTTTGGCATGCTTCTTTTTCAGCCCCAAATCTGTAGACATCAGTGTATTTTCATCAAAAAGCTGAAGCTTTATTTAGAACATCATTTTAGAGACAAAGAGCAGTTCATTTTATTTAGCAAAATAAATTTAACAAATACATTTAAATAAGGAAAGTTCAAGACTTTCATAGAATTTTTTTCTTAGTCACTTGCTTTCCTGCTGGTTGACCCGTTTGTTTCTAGCCTAACCGGGTTCTTTCCAAGCTAATGCAGCCAGAAGCCAAGGACCCATTTAACACACTTTGAATGACTCAGGTAACCTCTGAATTCTCTCCTATTGGAGCAGGAGAATGACTTGGGGAAGCATTTCACAGGAAATGTTCACCTCTTCCTGCCTTATCTTTTCAGCAGAGGCCCTGCTTGTCCTGAAATGGGTGGAAAATAAACCTCACCTGGGAGGTGGTGGTCAAAAGCAAAGCAAGGTGATTTTCACACCACTGGTCACAGCGACCCAAGGGGAAAGGAAGATATGCGTTTCCCAGCACTTGGCAAGATTCTGCTCCCACGGAGCTGTGCTCAGCTTCCCATTGTTATTTTCTAGTTATGTACATTTAAAAAATACAACAGCCTGTTAATTAGCAGGACACCTAATTCGGAACACACACTACACGGAGAAATCAAACGAGGGAGGAGCAGCAGGTAGTCTCGCTGGAGCAGGGCTGCCGGCCGCCCACCGTGTCCTCAGGCCTCAGTCCGTGACAGATCTGCACTCGGAAGGCAGCCCCTCTGACCGCCGCCACTGGGCCAGGCGCTGCTTAAACCATTTCTGTGGGAGAAAAGTGTGCAGAATTAGCTGTCACTGCAAAATCAGGATGCCTGTTCCATTTCTAGATGGAGGTCTTTGTGTCACCCGGGAAGGAGGGACACTGGGATGGTTCTCATTGTGATGCCAGCCGTTTCTGTCTCAGGACCTTTGCTATTTTCTAGGTAGGATGGTCTCTATTCTGTATCTGTGGAGCTCTTTCTCTCATCCTCAGGTGCAGCTTAAATAAAACCTTCGCAGTGAAGTCTTCCCTCACACTCTGTCTTAGTGCCTTGGTATCTTTACGTAGCTTTCTGTGCTGTGTATTCACTTGTTTTAAGTCAACAAATCTCCTATAACAGTGGTGGTGACCCCATGACATGTGTGCCGCAGCAGGCACTCAGAGCCCTCTCTGTTCACTCGGGCCAAGTCGCCCCAGCATCACCCCAGCAGCCGAGCATCAGATAACTGGGCCTGTAAGTGCCACGTGCATGCTCAGAGAGGGGCAGTGGCGCCAGGAAAGAAGGAAAGAAAGGAAAGAAGTGTGCAGCTGCAAGATACCAGACCTAGGGTGTATTTATGGAGGTGATGTGGTTGGAGATGATGGAGGCTCCCCGCTTTACATGGGCCAGTGCCTTCCTAGGCGCAATTCCAACCCCCGTGCAAACGGGGCCCTGGAGCCACACTGAGCAACATCACATCTCTCAGAAGGCCAGGGGGCTGAAGCGAGTTGAGCCTAAATCAGCATCAGAAGGAAAGTGCAGATGTACCTGAGCAGCAAGCACGTGCAGGGGGGTGCAGAAAAGGTGCGAGGCAGGTGTACAGGGCCGCACGGCAGCCCTGAGCCCGCTGCACCTGCAGCTCACCCTGCCCAAGCAGCTGTCTGCCCACCTGTATACAGGGGGCGCAGCAGAATCAAAAGCCACCCTTTCTTTTTGGGAGGGAAGCCTTCTTTCTCTTTGGGGTTGCTCCCCAGATGCCATATCTATGTGGGCAGTCACTAACTTTAGGGGGAAGAGAGTTTATGTCACTTTGGTGCTTTGTCCTTCTGCTGTAAAAGGTGGGTACATGTTCACATAGAACCCATGAGTAGGTTCTGTTAATTCTGGGTTCGGGTTGAGCTCTCTGCGTGGTGCCAGCTTCATTAATGAGGTCGCTCTGTGGAGGTTTCAAGGCCGTAAGTGCTGATTACACAGGATTCCCAGCGACTGGCACTGAATACACAGCGGCGTTTTAAAGACTAATTAAAACCTAGGGGAGGAAAGCCTGGCTTTCAATTTGGATTCATATAAGGCAAAATGGGTGAGCTGGCCCCATTCAAAAGAGCTACCCACATCTTTTCATGGTGCAGTGAAGCAGAATATTGACGAATCCTTCCCAAATATAGCTTTGGTATCAGTCACTTTTGGGAATTTGCAAATTCAGATCCAAACAGTTAACCACTGAGCCCTAGCACTGTGGAATGGGAGAAGGGGAAAGCTAAAATGTTTTTTTCTGAAGATATATATTTTAAATCAAGTGCATATTTTAGTAAATCACCTGCCATGTAGCAAAGTCATAAAATCCTTTGCCCCTCCCCCAGTTAACTCATAACTCATAACTTCTCACATCGATGCTAATTTCCTGGCTTTATTTTGCTTTTCTGTGTTTCTGCCATCTGGGAACATTCATCCCTTGCTTGCTTATAAATGACTGCCCTCATTACCCTCCCTCACTGATGGAGATTTATTTATTCTCTGCGAACAGATAATAATTAGACCCTGGGATAGGGAGGGGTTAGGGCAAAATCACATTGTTCTTGTCCTTTTCTCTAGCAACTAACATTTCATTCTTTTCAGGGGAGACCTTTAGAGGCCTTTATTCCACTGATAAAACATCCAACGTCTAAAATTGCTGGGTTCTGGGAACAAGCCCAGAACATCAAAAGGAGATAAAAATACTGGAACTGTCTCCCAAAACCAGTGCCAACTTCAGTGTGCCTGAACTGTGTGTGTGTATGTGTGTGTGTGTGAGTGTGTGTGTGACTGTGATCATTGAGACTACTTCATCCCCATCCCTGGGGGACTGATGAAAGAGCTCTCCCAGTCCTAACACTGATTTCAAAACAAGTAAAAACACATAGTGGGATTCTGTGAGCTTTTGCCTAACCTCAATGTAGGAGATACTTAGATTACTGCCATTCTAGGACTCCAGGAAAAGCAATTCGCAAAGTTGTTTCACTTAGTTTTTCCTGTCGCCTCCCTCCCAGAGAACTTTGTGCTACAGGGAAATAGTTACAAAGTGGTCTGCTGATCCTTTGGTGGCTGATAAGTGTGACAACTATGTTTTCACACCTGGTGTGAGGTGCGCCTCCCACACACCCTGTTAGGACATGGGTATGTGATATGACATGTCTGATGTGTGTGTGGGGGGCAATTCACTAAGCTCCCTAGCTAGAAAACGTGTGTACCTTTGAGGCCCCCTTGCCCCTGCTCAAGTGTGAGCAGTGTGAGTCAGTTGCAGTAACTGTCTCTGAAGAGCATCTGTGCTTGTTTTCTTTCACTAAAGTATTGCTTATTCTAGAGAAATTAACAGTATGATCCAATCTCCGGATGTGGCTGGGGTTACAGGGTAAGATGAGGATTCATGCATACGTGATGAGTATTATTTTATCTTCGGTGACCTTTTGCCATGGACAGGAGTCACACTGATAAAGAGCAGAAATAGGGGATGTGCTGAGAGCAACATCGATTATATGTATGTGTGGCCAGCCCTGGACTCTGTGGAGATATTTAAAGGGTCTCTAAAATCTGCTATGAATAAAAGTAATTTTATCAATACCTCCCCAAGTTCATCATTGGACATTCTATTTCACAACATACTTTTTTTTTTTTTTTCTGGTATCACCTGTCCTTTGGGCAGGACACGGTGATACATGTCTATAGCCCTAGCACTTAGGAGGCTGAGGCAGGAGGATCATTGTGAATTTGAGATCAGCCTGGATTACAAAGTGAGTTCAAGGCCAACCTGCACTGCATAGTGAAACCTTGTCTCAAAAAAAATAGAAGGGGGGAGGGAAGAAACTTGGAAAAGTGAAAATGTTGTTTGGAAAGATTAAAGAACACTTCTCTCCACCCACGCACATGGAGGCAGGGCTGGGATGGGAGGGGACAAGAATCAAGTGGCCTGAGCTACCTAGGATAACTCTTTCCTGACGTTTGCTGAGCTCTGGGTTCCAGATGCTTAGCTGGGCTTCAGCAGCCACCAGGAGGAAGCAGGTGTGGGCCCTGTGGCAGGAAGAGGAAGCCAGGGGTCCCCCACTGTGTGGCTGACTCACCCATACCCACGCTTGTTGGGCTTGGCTCACCATTTGTTTGTTTGAGGTTGACAGCAGAGGGGAAGTGGAGGAAGGGCTGTTTGAGAGGGATGAGCCACCTGTGTGGACGCCTGTGTTGGTCTCAGCCACGGAGAGAGGCAGGCACCCCATCTCCCTAACCCTACCCGGATTTCATTTTAATTTGCTAATCTCAGGTGATCCTGGAGGTAAGGCTGCCTAAAGTCGAGAGTGACTATCATTTAATGCATGGATTTTAAAAAGTCAATAAATAGGGGCTGGGGGTTTAGCTCAGCGGCATAAGCACCTGCCTTGCAAGCAGGCGGTCGTGAGTTCAATCCCCGGTACCGATAAAAATGAAAAAGACAAAAAAAAAAAAAAAGTCAGTAAATATAAATTTGCTTTTTGGTCCTTTCTCACCTCTAACCTCCATGGCGACCAGCAGTTTAAGGAGAACCGACTGGCTGAATTCAATTCCCAGCCCCATCACTGTGGCCTTGGGGAAGTTACTTACTTGGTCTTTCTGTGCTTCAGTTCCTACATCTATACAACTGTGCTAACAGCACCTGCCTTTACAGTACTGTTGTGGCAAATAAATGACTTAATAGAGGGTGCCCAGGGAAGCATATGGCATGCACCAGCCATTCCAAAGGTCACTGTAGGGCTGGGCGTGTAGCTCTGTGGTAGGGCGTGTGCTTAGCATGCTCGAGGCCCCAGGTTTGATCCTTAGCATGCACGCGTATGCACACATACACACACACACACACACACACACGCACACACATGTGAATTAAGGGGCTGTTAACACACAAGAGTCAGTGTTAGACCTCGAATTGGTACTGCGCCCACGATACCCTACAGCCTGGTTTTTAAAACAGGAGCTGTCTCTGCCGTCATTCCTGTTTCCTAAACATAGCATGAGGTTTTTAAACCAAACGGCAGCAGCCTGCCTCTTCAGCAGTTCCAAGAAATATGAGCCGGCAGACGGGTTGCAGTCAATCACCTTCTATTTAGTTCTGGCCCTAGCTGGTCTGACAGCTGTTCTAATCGTTGCCTTTTTATTTGACGTGCGAGTGAGAGGATTAACTATGGGCAAGTTCTCCATGCGGTCTCTGGCTCAGTAAACCTTGTTTTGGACCAGGGTCCAGGGCCTCAGTTCTGGATTCCAGGGAGCACCCACTGAGCACTGCCCCGAAACAAAATCCTGGACCTCTGGCCTGGGAGAAGGGAAGAGTAAGGGAATCTGCGGCAGAGGTGAGATCAGATGTGTAAAGCGCTTGGTGTTGCCAGGCAAACACTAGATCAGGTCCAACGAGTTTATCACACGTAACAAATTTTCTATGACCAGAGAAGTAAAAGTCAGAGTTTAGACAGAGTTTAAAAAAGAAAACTCAGCTAAAGTCTCCAAAACTGCACCTTGAGCAATTTCCTGGATAATATAACAGCTTTTAGAAAACAAATCATGCAATTAGAAGGACACGGGTCGCTACTCCCGCCAGCTGTAATGTCACAGGTGCACCTTCCTGGAGGACTCCTGAAAAGGACTCTGAACCTTACAGCCAGGAAATTTTTAAAATTCTGGACAAGATCTCCTGCTCTATGTGCTAGTGCGGTCTGAGTTCTGCAGCTGCCGCGCGGTGACCAACAGCGCTGTCCACCTCCCGCGCCTTCCGGGCGGCTCCCTCCTTGCCCCCCCCCCGGGCCTCAGTTTCCCCGTTTGCCGGACCTTCGGACTATAAATGTACAGCTGACCGCTAAGGTCCCTTGTGTGGGGGACACACTAGATTTCCCTGCAGGTACCGCGCACAGCCCAGAAGGGACACCGAGCCGAGAAAGCGAAACCAGCCCGAGGCGCTCGGGAGGGCAGTGGACTGGACGTGGGGGAGCGGCCCGGAGCACGCGCGGGAGGGGTGCGGGGTGCCGGGGTGCGGGGTGCGGGGGTGCGGGTGCCGCGGTGCGGGGTGCGGGGGTGCCGGGGTGCGGGATGCCGCGGTGCGGGGTGCCGGGGTGCGGGGGCCGGGGTGCGGGGGTGCGGGGGTGCCGGGGTGCGGGGTGCGGGGGTGCGGGGTGCCGGGGGCCGGGGTGCGGGGTGCGGCGGCCGGGGCTCGCTGGGCGCTCACCTGCGTCTCCTCCTCCGACAGGCCGGCCTCGGCCGCGATGAGGCACAGCGTGGTGGGGTCCGGGTGCTTGTTGACCTTGTTGAAGTTGTACTCCAGGATCTCCACCTGGTCCTCCGTGGGGCCGCTCGTGGGCTCGGCCGACATGGTCACCGCGCGGCTGCGGGCGGGAGGGAAGGCAGTGAGCGAGGGCGCAGGGTGCGGGGGTCCCACGCCGCGCGCCCCGGGCTCCCCCGAGCGTCCTCCGGCCGCCGCGCGTGGACGGTGGCTCGCGCCCCGCGGGCCCGGGAGGAGGTGGCGTGGGAGACCTTGCAGACGCAGCCTCCCGGGAGGGCGGACGACGGATGCACCGCTGCGGGCCGGGTTCGCTGCGGCCACGCCTCCCCGCGCGCAGACGCTGAGCCTCTACCCGGTGCTGGCGCTGGGGGAAGGGGCTGCGCATCCGGAGAACTCAGGGCACCCAAGCTACCCCTCCACGTGGGGGGACAGAGGGGTCCGGTTTAGGTTTCCCTTTGACAGAGGTGGAGCTAGGTTTGCAGAGAAATAGTTTAAGGCAGGGGACTGAGCCCCAGGGGACACGGCCACGTGGGCCCGCGTGGGGACCAATCCGACCCTGCAACCTGCCAACTTCTAGCCCGCCCAGGCTCTAAGGGAAGTCCTGAATCCCAGGCCTGCTGTCACCAGTAAACACTAAAGGGCCATTGCTCAATGTGACCCCTAAATGTGCCAACTACGTCCAGATGGAGTGGGGTTACCTAGCCAACGCAGTAAGGTCTGAGTCAACTGTCCCTTAAAATCCCAGACTTCCTCTACAAATTTGCCTTCAAGTTAGGAAAATGAGTCAGCCACAAATTTCAAGGTCTCTTGTTTGTCTCCACCTGTGCCAGCAGCTACCAGTTCCTAGGTGGCCTCCAAATTGGGGCCAAAAAAAATTGGCAGATGAGGCCCCCTGCCGTGTCCCCAGTTTAAGGAAGTCTTGGGTGTGTCTCTGGTTGTGGATTTGGCACAGGCCTGTCAGGGCTTGATGGTTGCTGACAGCAGAAGACAAGCAGAAGTATGGGAATCATGTCAGTTTGTTGTTTCAACCAACACTTGCAAAATCAGCCGGAGCAGACCCGGGGAGGGTTTGATGTGGTTTATGCCCACGGAAGGGCCACACTCCACGGATCTGCTTGCACTCCGTACCGCTGCTGCTGCAGCCTTTTCCTCTGTCACCTGCCCATTCTGCTCCTTGAGTAGACAGATGTCTTTACCTCTCCTCAGTGTCACTCAGCGGGACCTCAGGCAGGAAAGGAGCTTATGCTACGGCTGAGGTCAGCCTTGAATTCCTTGCCAAGTACAGTGAAACTGTGTTTTGGGGGAATTCGGGGCACCCCCATCTGAAAATCTGTTCCAGTGATTCCTGTCACAGGGCTGAGGCAGGAGAGTGTCAAGCCAGGTCAGAAATGCCTCGTCTCCTGTTTGCAGTCCTCCCCCTCCTTTGCCACACAAGCTGAGGGCTCAGAGAACCTTGGAAATGCGCCCTGCAGGCCTGCCCTGTCACAGGCCACGAGGGGGAGGCTGAGGCTGGTTTTCCCAGCCCCAATTTTTGCCTAAGCAGTGATCAGCACTAGGAATGGAGGCCTCAGCTCTGCTCTGGGCCCCTGTCCAGCTGGCCTCTGAGTAGCTCAGTTTGGTAGAAAGCAGTCCAGAGGACAGCAGACAGGGGCTCATTGCCATCTGGACTGGGCATGAGTTGCAGGCAAAGCTCATCGCTAAAACTCGGACCACTGCTCATTTTGTCTAAGAACAGACAGTGGAGTACCGTTGCCTCTAATTTTCTCCCTCACCCTAGAAAGATTCTGTGTAATTACGTGGCCAAACTGCCTCTTTCATGAGAGCCTGCTGCTTCCTGTAGGACCTGTGGTCCTTCAGAACGAGTTTTCTAAACCGGATTCAGCTTAACGATGGCAGTATACATACTTTCCTCCTCTTTTCGTTACTGCTGTTCTAGAACTCAAGGCCTGCTCATGTTCTTAGGTTGAATTGGGTGCATTTTATTTTCTTAGGCTTCTGTGGCTTCCTGTGATGGATATTGAGTGCAGTTTTGTGGGCAGGTCCTGGTTGACTTTAAAGGCCTTGGCGGGTTGGTTGGCTGAGAGCCATGTCCTTGGCTGGCAGCTAAGGAGACTTGGGAGGGCCACTGAATAGGACCTACTTCTCCAAGGGTACGTCAGACTTGCTTGGCTTCTAGAAATGAGGGCGAAAGATCTCTGCTGGCAGACATATTTGCTTTTCCTCACAGCTCAGCCTGTTACTTCAGCCCTCTTTGGTTGACAAATGTTTGGTGTTGCTTCACTTCTCTCTCTGTCTCTGTCTCTGTCTCTGTCTCTGTCTCACTGTATGAATCAAGCCTCCCTAGTAACCTTGGCCTTACGCATTTTCTCAGCTGTATCCGGTATAAAGGCGTTAGAAGCTTCTCTGAAGGTAGCCTACACAATCTCATCTCAAAAGAATTAAAAATATTTTAAAGTTACTTAAATTTTCACCTTATACAAATTTTATTGATGTGGTTATCATATCTTATGAAACATTCAAAGAGAGATTTGTCCTGTCATTGTGTTTTTCTTTTCTGTTTAGGGGAAGTCATTGCGTAAATGTTTTCAAGAGGTTAAATAAAAACTGCTGGTTTTCTTTTGCTCTAAATTGAGTCCTAAGCCAGGATAGACAAATGTGTCGGTCTGATAGCTTTACTTTTTGTCCCTTAACCCTGCAGTCCATTTATTTAGAAAGTGTTGCCTATATAAACTAGCTCACAGAAAGTGCATAAATTGACCAACTGTAGTTACTTTTCTGGCATCTCTCGCCCTGTTTTGGCCATTCTGACTCTGTAACGTCACAAGTGTCAAGCTGAGAGAGACAGCTCCTGTAAGAAGGTTGCTGAGGTGAGCTGGCTACAAAGGATTTCTCCTTTGTAACGCAAGTGACCTTTCATCTTTCTCCCAAATTGCGGTTGCCTGTATTTCTTTCATATTCAGAGTTGCCTACAAAAAGTGAATCCTTGGGACATTTTATATTTTCCTAAGTGAGAAAAATGATGTGTGCCTTTAGGGTGGCAGTCATAGGCCAGGAGGAGAACCAAGAAGCCAAGCCCAGTGTGCGGGCTGGGAGACGAGAGGCGAGCCTCGCCCCCATAAGCAATCTACCGATTTGGAGAAACACAGGCTGAGATGGCAGGTACTGAAGAGAAAACACAACTTAATGCTTGCGTTGTTTGACTGACTCTGCGGGCCTGAAGCCAATAATCTGAGCATCCATTTAGAGGATAACAATATGCAATACAGCAACTAAGGGGAATTTCCTTCTGTCTTGTTTTTGAAATCCAATATTGTTTTCATTGTTTTGTTTGGTTCCATTTTATTGATTTCTTTTATAACAAAAAAAAAATGGACAAGAGAAGAATGACATGTGGTCATTTCCACAAGAGAAGTGGTGGGTCTTTGGAAGGAAAGGGGGTCTGCTCAGTCATTTTACTGATTTTAAGGGGCAGAATGAGGTCGATCAAAGCTGAATCTCTCAGAAACTGATAATCAAAATCGGGAGGGCTGGGGGTGTCGCTCAGTGGCAGAGCACATGCCTAACGTGTGAAGCCCAGGGTTCAACCCTCAGCAATGAAATCAACACTGACAACAGGGGTGGCGTACAGGGCCACCTCTGTAGAGCCACACAAACGCTGAAGGTGGACGTGGAGGATTTATTTATGTATTTATTTATTGGTGCTGAAGATCAAGCCCGGGCCTCAAGCATGCCAGGCAAACACTCTGCCCCTGAACTACATCCCCAGGCCTTGTTCTTTCAAATACAAGCTAAGAGCGGTGGTTGTCAAGCCTGAAGAGGTCTCAGAATCAGCTGTGGGAGTGTCCGAGCCCCCCCTTTGAATCAGAGCCACGTCTTAGGAACCTCGCACGGGCAGAGACACAAAAAAAAATTTCTGTTCTTGCAAGATACGCACTTTAATCATTAAAATGGACTATAATGAGGCTGGGGATGTAGCTTAGTGGTACACACTTGCCTAGCATATGCAAAACCCCAGGTTTCATTCCCAGTGCCACAGAAAAAAAGAAAGAAAGAAAAGAAAAGAAATGTATTGAAATTCTTAGACCTCATACTTGCTCTGATGTTGTGTGTCATCTTAACATCTGAGTAGATGGCAGGTAGAGATAGTTTAAAAGGAATAAACTTTGGGGGTCAAGATGGATCCTAGGGATAGAATCCAGAGCCTTACACTGAGCTACATCTCCAGCCTTCTTTGTTTGTTTTTAGTTTGAGACATAGTCTCACTAAGTTGAGCTAAGTTGCCCAGGTCACATTTGAATTTGCAATCTTCCTGCCTCAGCCTCCCAGAGTGTGGAAACTACGGGCATGCTCCACCACGCAAAGCAATGAATAATCTTTACAGGTACATAGTGGAATAAACAGATTGACCCAACATGCTACTAATCTTTGTATATCTGGTCAGGAATGAGCAGAATGCCTTTAACATTATGTAAGAAATTCTGTGCTTTCAAAAATTTAGAAAATTCAGAGAATTAAAACAACTTGGAAAACAAAACTAAAAATGTTAGAGAAAATTACAAGGGGTGATCAAAAGTATGGTGACTGTTTAAGGTTTTTAAATGTATTAGGGTAAAACACACATTGCCATGAATTCCCCTCACTTCTAACACTCTTGTCCATCAATCTTGCTTGTTTCTGAAGCAGTGCTGGAGGTCCTCTTTCCTGAATGTCTATGAGATGTGAGGAAAATTCAGTAAATGCTGCTGCCAGCTGCCATCAGACAGAAAGGCGGGTTTTAAGAACAACAGGACACATCACCATCTACTTTACTCACTGGATGTGACACAATACCAATGGTGCCTCGTTACCAAATTAAAAATGACCTCTACAGGTAAACACTTTGAATTAGTTCAGGACCTCAAGGTAGCCATGACAGCACAACTAAAGACACGAAACAGAACTTCCAGAGCAGCTTCAAAAAGTGCCAGGATGTGATTAGTGGGCTCAAAGTGACAGCGGGTATTTCTGAGTGGAATTAATGGACCTGTTTCTTTTATTATGATTTTTAAAATTTCAATGCATACAACTTTTTTCAATCATACGTCATATATTACTGTGCAGAGACTAGAGTTTTAAAACGATTACTCAAAGAAAAACTCCACAATCACACATATTTCTAGTAACTAACTTTGAAGCTAAAAATTATAGTACAAAAAATTTGGCAACCTTGACTTTGACTGATCTTTAATTCCGTATATTTTCCAGTGATGAGATGCTACAATTTATCACTTATGTATATATTTTACTTTGTGTTAGTGGGTGTTGAGCCCACAACCTTATAAGTGCTAGACAAATGCTTTGTCACTGAGTTACACCCTCAGCCCCCACTTATGTAGATAATATATTTAATGGAACTTAAAACTATAGATGCCAAACACATTATATACACATAGGGCATTATTGCTGTCTTCAAGGAAGCAACATTCCAAACCCAAATGGGAACATGCATTTTAAATGCTACAGCGCGTCTAACATTACCTGTCAAAATGTGAAGGAAATGTCATAATAGTCAAAATGTTCTTAATAGTTACATCTACATTGTGCAATTCTGAATGAAGAAAAAGAAAAGTAAAAAAGGGAAGTTTCCCTCTTTATATTTTTCCATTTTTTCAAACTTTCTATAGTAAGTACTTACTGCTTTAAAGTTAGACCAACAATTTTTTTTCTTAAAATTTCACACTCTCCTTCTCTCGCTCTGGTACTGGAAGTCGAAGCCAGGCTCTTCACAGTAAGCTGCATCCCCAGCCCTTTTGAACATTTTCAGTTTTGAACTGGGATCTTGCTAAGTTGTGAAGTTGTCTAAGATAGATTCAAACTTGGGCTCCTACAGCCTCAGCCTCCCAGAGTGTGGGCCCACAGGTGTAGGCCCCCCAAAACCACATTCTTAAACAGACCAGTGGCCCACCTTGTTATGAGTTTTATTTTATTATTGGCAGCAATTGACAACCTCTGAAAAAGTCTGAGAGTTGTTTGCTAAGTCTATTTAGAAGTTAAGGATGTAGACATTTTCCTTTTCTATGGAAAACCTCATTGAGTATGAAAAGAATATATATAATGCACATGTAAGTTATGAAGCATAAATTAAGTAAAACAGTATTCTGAACATCACCTGCCTTTTTTTTTTTGGTACCCGAGATTGAACTCACAACCTTGCATTTGCCAAGCACTTATGCCACTGAGCTAAATCCCCAGCCCCAATTACCTGCTTAAGAATTAAGGCACACCAAGGCGCTGACAGCTACCCATACTCTTTCCTGTCCCCACCCCCTTTGCTGACCTAAAAAGAAAATCATGATTCTGAATTTCACGGTATTAATTGCTTTGCTTTTAAAATTAGTTTTATCAGGCCAGAGATACAGCTCAGTGGCACAAGTGCCTACCTGCAAGCATGAAGTTACAAGTTTGATCCCCAGTACCTAAATAATAAAATTAGTTTTATCACATATGTGTGAATCCCTGAAAAAGTTTTATGCTTTATGTCTTATTGAATTCGATAAAAATGATATCATACTACTGGGATACATAGTGCTTTGAAGAACGGCTTCGCTCACTAGGCATTTTTGCTAAGATCATCTGTATTTCTGCAAGCAGAGAAGCTCATTTATATTCACTGCTGATTCCGTTTTATAAATAAAAATTGGGGGATGTGTTTGCATACCACTGGATATCTGGGTTGTTTCCAGTGTTCTGCTGTTCTTAATGTTACTTCCGGGACACTGTCGTCTGTCTCCCGATGCCTCCCGGCAGGATTTCTCCAGGGTATTTACCAGGACTGGCCTGCTGGCTTATGGCCTGCATGACTAGTCAGCATTTTTTTTTTTTTTTTTTTGGACCGTTCAGCTGTACAACACAGTATCAGATCATTTTGCCAAGTTGTTGACAAAACTACTGTCTCACCAACTGTGCTTAGAGTTTCCTTTCCTCCACATCATTATGGACAATTGGTATTACTGACTTTCTTAGTGTGTTTCTTTTCATGAACAGTATTGAAACTTTCTTGATGCTATTTCTGTTTTTAGCTTGCATGACCTCTTGGGGTTAAAAGGTTCCATATGTTTACTATTTACTGTGCAGGAGTATTTCCTGTTCCAGCCCAGAAGGGAATTTGAAGTATTTTTGTGAGAGGTAGAATTCTGTCCCAGTTTAGCTCAGTTTTTTTCACCATTGATTGCCAGGAACAATACAAAAAGGTATGGAAAACAAATTAGTAAGACCTTTCATTGATTCATGCTAAAAAACGGTTACTGTTTTGCTTCTACAGAGTTCTTGAGAGGTAGTACTTGATTTTACACTTTAAAGATGTATTAGTCTAGTCAGGCACAGTGGCACATGCCTCTAAGCCTGAATACTCAGGAGGCCGAGGCAGTAGGATCACAAAATTAGAGCCAACCTGGGCAATTTAGGAAAGTCTATTTCAAAATAAAAACAAAAAGGGTGAGGAATATTGTCAGTGGGAGAACACCCCCAGGTTCAGTCTCCTGCACCACACGCACAAAAAGCAAATATGAAAGTCTCCAAAAGAAAACCACAGAGATGAATTTTTTTTTTGTCTTTTTCATTTTTATCGCTACCAGGGATCATACTCACGACTGCCTGCTTGCAAGGCAGGTGCTTATGCCGCTGAGCTAAATCCCCAGCCCACAAGATGGATTTAAAATGATTGAGTAAAAGAGAAGCAAGGATATAGAGATGGACAGAAAATATAAAGGGGATACACCCCTGGGATGTGGGTTTAAAATAGGGCACACACGCGTAGTCTTAGATGATGTGCTGCAGTGTTCGGACCACAGAGGATGATGATGGTTCAAAGGAAGATGGCAGGTATTCATTTCAGCCTCTCTCATAGTTTTCTCTTAGCACACTGGAAGGGAATTAGTCTTATATTGCAGGCAAGAGAAATTCATGAACTTATCCACAGCACCAGGAGAAGACCAACAATTCTACTTTGTATTCTGCCTATGGCGGCAAAGGCTGTGTGATTTCACAAGTATCAAGATTGACTTCTTTCTCCAAATATATCCTCCCCCGTGCTCTGATGTAAGAATTCCAAGCTATCACTGAATCGCCCATTTGGATCTTTGAGCGCAGCCCGAGTGGTGGTCTGTTACTTTTGGGAAGACTGAGGGTAGGAGAAAAGTGGGTCTTTCCCAGTGTGCGTGGGGCCGTTGCTGACCTGCTGTGGCTTCTCCAGCCCCATTCCACACCTCTCTTTCCCTTCCACACCTCTCTTCACAAAGCCCTCATGTTTATCTGAGCGCAGACAGCAGAGGTCATGGAATCTCCCCTTCAAGTTCAGCTCTAGTTCCATTTCACAGATGAGGAACTTGAAATGCATGTGATTTGGGGACAGGGTTTAAGTGTGTCCACGAGACCTCAGCTCTTAACACCCAACCCATGTAACGATTTTGCAAGCACAGTGGCAGAGCCACTTGTAGCTTGACAGCAACGAACAAGCATGTTGTTCTAGGACACACTGCACTTGACACAAGGAGCCGGAAGACTGAAATGCCTACAGAATTCATGCCATTCCAACGAGTCCCAGTGCCCAAACCCTCCCAAGGACCTTGCTCCTGCAGGTTTGTCAGGTACACATGTTTTGGGGTTCAGTTTTTTATCTTTCAGCCCTGCTGTGGGATTACACATGCCTCAATAGTTAACCCAAGTTCTTATTAAGTGCTCCTTTAAACTTTCAGTTCTGATGTGTTTACGTGTGTTCTGTGTGCTTGCTAATTTATTTGTTATTTTCCAGTTTACTTTTAAAGTGATCTTTTCTCCTGCCTTAAAAGCCTGTTGTCTCAAGTAAGAAACATGGAAGAATAAAGAATAAAATGAAATTTCAGTTAAGATAGTGAAAGTTTACATAATGAGAAGTCCCAAATACTGATCTTTTGAGTGATCACTTTGCTGGGCTTTGATTTCTCTCCTAAGGAAGGAGACACTGACGCAGTGATACACACCTGTGCCGTGCACAGCACTGTCGTAAGGTGCAGGTGCTGTTGCTATAGGAACAGGTCTCTAACCTAAGAGCTTGCTCATGCAGTACATGCTGTTCCTTAAAAGGCTGTGAGCTGAGTGTCCAGTGAGTCACCTCCTGCTTGGCAAATTGGTAAGAAGAGTCTACACATTTTGTTTTATCCAGATAAATCTCTTTTTCAATACTTCTGGAATAGTAAAGGATAATAGTTGAAATTACGACCTTCTTTAAAAATCAACTGCTGGCTAGGTTGCTTAACTGAAATACATGACTGGATGGAAGCTCTCCAAGCTGACAAAAGAGGTCAGAGGTAGAGAGAGGGCATTAACTGGGCAGAAGAGTAGTGAGGAAGATGATATTAGGCAGGAACAAATAGTTTATGAATTAGCGAGTAGATTTTTGAAGGTTATCTTGACCTCTGTGGATAATGATCAAACTGAAATTGCTCTGAAGTAATCTGCTCAGAGGCTGTCTCCTCCACTAATTATATACCCTTCTCTGAGGGCGGTGTCCTCTCAAACATTCACATATCTCCCCAGCATTCATTAAGAGTAGTTGGCACTCACTTGGTATCTGTTGTGCAGAACTTAACAAATGGAAATGTTATTGGAAATGACTTCACTTAGGATGTAACCTAGGAAGAGACTGCTGTATTTGCAACAACCAAGCCTAACTGAAGCATAAAGTAAGAAAATATATCTTCATAGATTTTTATATCTTTCTATTCTCAGTGCTGCAAACAGTGTAGTTAATTCCTATTGTTGATTCATACACAGAAATCTCAACTGGTTTTTATAAGAACAGCAACAACTTATTTACTGAGTGAGTACTATATGCCAGCCCCTGTCCTAAGTGGATAGAGGCATTAATTCACTTAGTCATACAGGAGCAGCAGCACTATGTGGCAGGTGCGCTTACCTTCATATACACATGTGGAAACTGCTATAAACAGAAACACACTGACACAAAACTTTGCATAAGAGATCTAGGGGCTGGGGATTTAGCTCAGCGGCATAAGCGCCTGCCTTGCAAGCAGGCAGTTGTGAGTTCGATCCCTGATACCGATAAAAACAAAAAAGACAAAAAAAAAAAAAAAAAAAGAGAGAGAGATCTAATTAATGTTCCCTAAATCACAAGCTTAGTAAATGACAGAGTGGAGATTCAAACCAGAAACTCTGGCTTCTGCACCTACTTTCTTGATCAGTTCCCCATATTTCCTCTACACAGCACTGAGTAGCTGTGTAGACAGAAGTTCTGGTTGGGTGACTGTGGTAGAGCTGGCCAGGGGCGTGGGGTAAGGAGTGAGCCTGTGCCCGGCCTTTCCTGTGGCTGCTCGAGGAGCAGTGCTTCCCTCCCTGGGCCATGGCGCTCAGCTTTGGTGACCATGCATGCCTGGCTCTGGCCAGCTCAGTGGATCAGCCGGAAATGCCAATTCCTACCATCACAACCAGTGCCCTGCCATCACCCGGGTGGCTTTCTTTCTCCTCATTCACTGGTGCAGATAGAGAGGGAACATGACATTAGTGAGTAACAGAGCAAGCCAGTGACACAAAGGTCAGTATCCATCACGGAGTAAGATGGAAAGGTTACCACTAAACAGCTGGAGCTAAGTGATTCAGCCCCTCGCTGTGCAGCCTTTTAGGAACTGATTAAGGACCCTCCTGAAACTGTTTTATAATGAGGCTCTGAGTGATCTAGACTTTCTGTGCCCCTTCAGAACACCGAGAGTATTATGAAAGCCTACCACAAGGGAAGGGCTCTGTGAGTGACTTCCAGCAGTGAATGAATCATTAATTAACCCTTAAAATAAAATTCCTTTCATTTGTTTTACATAGCAGGTCACTTCCAAAATCCCAGCACGTGGGAGGTTGAGGCAGGATGGTGGAGAGTTTGAGGTCAACCTGAACTACATTAGCGAGACCCTGTCTTACAAAGAAAAAGAGAGAGGATTCTGGCTCTGGTGCTACACTGAGTTCTTTTCACTGAGACTCCAGCTCCTGTTTTAAGTTTGTATGTGGAGATGTGGGACAGTGATGGGGCCCAAGCTTTGAGTATGCTATGAAGTAAGTGAAATATTTAGTCTCCCTTCTTACAAATAAATGGGCAATTGAAAGGGGATAATCCCATTTCTGGGATCTTGTGGGAGGTCCCCACTGGTAACTAGGCTGCTTTTCCAAAGGTCCATTTATGCGTTGGTGGTACACTGGTGGGCGGAGCTGCCTTCCAAAGGTCCACTTATATTATGGTGTTAGAGTACAAGATCAAAGTATGTTACATATATGTACGAAAGTATCACAGTGAAACCCTCCCTTCTACATAATTAATGTGCATTAATAAAAATGAAGTCTGGATTAGAATAAAAAATGAAAAACAAGTGTGACTTTCTTCATCTTGATATGGAAGCATAATAATTAGAGCAGGGAAAGAGGAACAAGGAAAAGGAATTTTGAGTGCTGGTGTGACACACAGCTTATCTGGGATATGACTAGTCACGTTATAACTATGGACAATAAAGAAAACGCTGGATACTGACATCCTGCCTTAGCGTGGGCCAGTGTGAACCCCTGTATCAGAGTGTGACCCTCACCTCCAGTTATTAAGATGAAGTCCTTACTATCTTCTCTTTAACTTTACAATTAAAGTGCTTTTTTATCTTATAAAAGGAAAGAAAAACCCAGGGTTTCTTAGCATTTCCTTTTCCTTCTCATTCTTTTACCCAAGATACCTGCAAGAAGGGGATGGGATTTTGTGTGTCATGTTCCCAAGCCTGCCACCAAGTGGCGCTGTCAGACAAGGACAGCTTAGTTGCTGGCCAGCGCTCATGACAGCTCAGAGACGAGAAAGGGCTTGGGAGTGAGTGTAAGGCAGGGGTTACGGAGGGAATGTGTGTATATGTGTGAGGAGTAATTATACGTAGGTGGTACATTTTCAATCTTCAATAATGAATGAAAATATAAAGTGCTGTGGGATAGTGGAAGGCGCTCTGGAGAAAGAGTCAGAGTAGGTTTCAACTTGAACTCCTCACTTAGTCTCATGTGTCCTTGGCAGTGTCATTTAATTCATTTGAACTTTAGTCTCATACTTGTAAAATGTAGCTAAAGCCTCCTTCCTTGTCTGTTTACTTCATCAGGACACAGTGAAACGATATTCGTGGACCAACTCAGCAAAGAGCAAAATGACAGACACATTTTCAGAAGTCTGATAATTATTTCTCAATCCAGAAAAGTGGAGATGTTGGGCCGGATGACCCTGAGATGAATTTCTCTTCTAAGATTTGAAAGATCAAAAGTGGCCTGTGTTTTACATTATCATGTTTTTCCACACAAGCAGTTTACTGATGTCACTGGCCCAAGAAAGGGCAGCACAGAAGCTCTTCTAAGCTGTCCTTGATTTGCTGAACACTCTGTACCAAATTCCTACTTCAAAGGCAAGTGAAGAGTCTGCAAAAACATTTTGAATCCAGGTGCTTCTTAATACCCAGGTTATCTGTTAAATCAAGATTTATAATCTATTCTGGAACACTTAAGAATAAAAAGAATGCTGTTAAGAAGCCAGATCTCAGCTGGCATACAAGGGAGAGACCCAGGCACCCTGGACATCTGGTCCCCCTCTTAGATATAAACTGTTAAATTCCTCATTTGGGTGTGGGCCAGTAAACAGCTCCTGTAGCGCTTGGGCTTCTCCCATGCTATGTGGATTAGTGAATTGTTGCCTAGTAGTCTCTTGGAGGACAGAACAACATATACTTTAGCACAGTAATGAAGAGGAGGCTGTTTGTTCACTCTTAAGAAAGGCTAGCGTTGCAGTATTGCAGCATAGTTAAAGGTAAGAGGAAACCCAGTAGCTTCAATTTCCTGAGCTTTCATTTTTATTGCAGTTTAAATACTAGGTTAGCAATGTGTCTGGTAGGATGAATCCTGCTTGGGCCTCTGCCTGATGCACATTGTTAGCATGGTTACGCTAATGCTTAGTGAGTGTGAATATCCATTATATCTCAAACAGGGTTCTGTCTTATAAGCAAATAGGAATTTATATGACCAAGCTTGAAAGCAAATAACAACAACAAAAATCAACTTTCTAAATAGTCTGTGAAGAGAAAAAAATAAGTAAAAATGGCAGCTAATAAATCTTCTTTTTGTATGTTGTGGTAAGTTCTTAGCTTTTGGTGGCTATTTAACTTCTTAATTATGTTTTTTTTTAGATGAGAATTAATTAGATTAATTAGGTCAATAGCAGCACAGGGAGATATATGTAAGAGGAGCAATGCTCAAAATTTTAAATGGTGATGACAGAAATCAGTCTGGTATTCAAAGTAAGTCTAACAAAAATTAGTCACACAGAAATAATTGAGAACCAAATAAATAAAGCTGTCTTATTACTCTGCAGCTATACAGGTACTTTAGAATGTTAAAGACTTAGAGATTCTTTCTGAAAATTTTCTTATCCCCACTACTTGGTTCTGTGAAGGGTTGATCATTCGTCATTCTGGGCATATTTCAACCATGACATCATGGTTTATTTTTCTGAGACGCTATACAGAATTGGACAGTATTTTTGCCCAAACCGAAACTACGTGCTAAGAAACAGTAGTCAGGGACCTGCGTTGCATCACACGCACCTGGTCACCAGGTGGCTGGGCCTCCCAGCTGTGTGTTCTTCCTTCAGTCACTGGACCCGCATTAAGCACGTAGGCATGGCTTCCTCAGATAATTTTTGCATTGCGAAAAATCCAGAAAAGACTCTTTGAGAGAATGGAGTTTTCATGTTGCACCAATATACTTTGATGAATGATGGTGTTTTAAGATCCTCTTATCATTCTTATTTTATGACTACAGTTAGCTAATGGATACAAGTGACACACAGCAGACACCTTGTGGAACCCTGAATTATGCTAATATCCAAACACCCATGCTGCCTGTTGCCACGACATGCAGTTTATGGGCCTTACTTTTTCTTCCCTTGAGTTTTTTTATGAGCAGATGTCCAAGCAGTGGGAAAAAACAGAGGCTTCAGCCTACTCATTACATCACAAAATACAGAAGAGGGCAGATATACTAGAAAACCCAGCTTAGAGCACAGCTGTGAGCCTACTTAAATATCTCCAAGTATCAGCCACACTGCAGAGAAAGACTTGACGGAGCCTTAGAAAAACTGAAGTCTCTCTCCAGCCCTAATGCTTACTCTCCAAGTGGCCTCAGATGACTCACGATTGCTCTAGACTGCCATGAAACATCTACATTGCTATCATCCTGCTCCACCTCTCTTGAGGTGGTGTTGTAGGATTGAGTGAGATGGATATTTATGAATGGTACTATAGATTGCAAACACTATATAAATATAAGGCATTAATCCATCTTTCCCAGTGACTCAGGATATAATGTTGGGTAACTGAATGACATCAGATTTTGCAACACTTGAAATGGCAAAACATTTTGTAAACTTTACTCAACCTCAGGAATAATATGATTTCTTAGAACATTTCATTTGTTCAGGTAATCAGCGACCAACATAGAGACAAATGCTTATCAAATTAATTAATTCAAATTTAAGAAAATGACATTAAGAAGGAGAGATCACTAAAGATTTCTCTTTAAGCTCTAAAAATTGTTTTGGTGATTCTTATTAGCATATTAAAGAACCCTAAGAAGCTCCTAAATGTTTGAAATAGTAGATCAGAACTTGCGGTATCCTATCTGTGTAGCTCATGGCAGTTCAATATTCCACACTGTGAGAGGAATCACAGGCTGTCTAGTCTGCCCTCCCTTTCCCAATAACCACATCAAAGAGTAGTCCAGTGTATGTTTGCGGACAAGCATTACCACACTGTAAGAATAAAAGGCAACACAGATGCTTCAATAAAAAAAAGCCATAGGAAAATTGCAGATTACTAATAAGCAGAAATAATGCATTAGGAATATCAACAGCAACATGAATTTCAAAAAACAGTGTAGAATTAAAACAAGGGAGACTGAAAAAGCAAGAGAAATAAAATAAAATGCAAAATCTAAGACGGGGGTCTTATGTATAACATGAATTAGAGAATGTGGTAATGTGAGCCTCAATATCCAAGTGAGCAAAGAAACCAAAAACCACTTAAAAGATTGACGGACTTCCTCCCCTTCCAGAGCTTGCCTGCAAAATTATTTTCAGTGTAACTTTTGCCGACAAGGAAGCATGTCACCGCTCATTGAGTGTCCTCTACTGCAGCGCACATTGAACCTGGGCTCCAGTTTGTCCTCAGAAGGATGAGGGGAAAGGGCCAGGACATGTGCATTTTTTCAACATCATTGAATGGCTTTTTAGCCTTCTCTTGTTCAAATTAATAAGACCAGGTCCTTTTGCTGCTCCTTCTAGCTTGGTCAGCTAGGAGCTCTTTGGAGCTCGTTCCAATGATGTGCTTCCCTTTTCAATTGTGAGCCCTGAGCCAGACTCGGGGAGGAGGTGAAAGTGTGGGATGGCCTCCTGTTTTTGCTACCAATTCATGCATCGCTGTGGTCATCTCTCAAGGGTGAAGAGTGGAGGACTTCATAAAGTCATAGACAATTTCTGCATTCATTACTGAATGAAAGTTTTGTTTAGAATAGATCACTCTTGGGCACCAGCAGACTAGAAACTTGGGAAGGGCTGAGAGAATGTAAGTGCTCAGGAAGGTTGTTTGTGTACATTTCCTTAGGGAGAAGCCCCACAGGAAGGAAACACATCAACAAAGACTGGACTGTGTAAGCAAATCTGTCATAACCCTAAGAATTTCAGGAAATCCCCATTTTGACCTATCTAGATCCAATGGCTAGAATGACGGTTATTAGGTTCCTGCCCAGTATATACAAAGATTAGAACAGATCAGTATCTACCGAAGGTTCTTTGTTTGGTTTTGAACATACAAGGGCTGAATAGTTCGTCTGTGAAAGATCTGGCCAGGTTTCTATGTTTAATCACATTTTATCAAAACCACCAGGAGCAAATTATAGGTTCTGTGGGGATTGGTAAAAATGGGCTTCCTTATTTTTTAATGAAGCTACTCAAACACGACTGTGAGTTGGTACAATCTTGACACAAATAGAGTAACTCACTTAACCTTGTGATGAATAATTCTTTGAACTCCCAGCGTTTGTTTGGAACTTTGTTTTTGATAAGCCGACGTACGTTAATGAGTTCTCAACCTGAGCTGTACAAACACGAGTCTTCTCACAGGGAACCTGAGTCACCCGGACCGTAAAGGACTTGGCACAGGGCCTAACCTGCTCCCACTGGGACACATGGTCCCACACTCTGCACCTCGTGAGCACCAGGATGACACCTCCACATCAGGGCCCCGGGAGCCAGGTGTGGCCAAGGAGAGAACACATGGGTGCACCTCTGTGTCGGGACATAGGTGGCCTCAGATCCCCATAGGCCTCCCTGCCTCAGGCATGCCCCAGGGAGTGGGCAGGTTGCACTCGGCCCACAAGGACCAGGACCTGTCCTCGGGTCCTTGATGGTAGTTTTTAAATGGCAGGTTGGTGTATTATACATCTCTCCAAGCCACGGGCCACCCACCTTTCTCCCATCTGGCATCTCCATTCTCTCGGTGATTCAGGAGTCTGAGGAAGCCACCAGCAACATTCAAAACCTCATAACACAGCCTAGCTAAAAAGTGTCAAAGTGACCTTTTGAGCTACCCTACACGGAGGAAATTTCAAAATAAAAGTAAATGGGTAATGGTCATAGAAAAGCCATCCAAAGGAAGAATTCTGTTACTTTTACAAACCTATTTTATCAGCCATGCCATCCCATCACTTGTTCTAATTCATACTTTTGATTTTTGTAGGGAAACTCCTGCAGGAAGCATTTGGCCTGCTAACATCAAATGGGCGCTGACTGACACCTTGACGCACAGGGGCCGGTCTGCAGTTTGCAGGGCTCCAGGCAGAGTTTGCTGTGCATTCCTCTCCCACCGTGCCTACCGATGCCCTGCTGCCCCGGGGTTCCCTGCTGCTTCCCTAGAAAGTCTGGGCAGGATAGTGAAGCAATCTCAGCTTTTCCCATAGGACAAAGGGCGGGCGTGGGCACAGCACCCCCAGGACAGGTGGCAGGGGTTGTGCTGGGACTGTGGGACCCAGTCCCCAAGGAAGGAGGCTTCTGGTCACTACAGCAGACTCTACTGCTCTGAGTGCCAGCCTTAAAGGAGCAACGAGTGAGGTTTCAAAAGCCCTGTGGACAGAACATAGTGATATTTTGTCTACACCGTAAGGACCACCAGGTGGCTTTCCAATTTTCAGAAAGATAAATGCAATATGGTCTTTTCCGATGAGGACAACTGTATTTAACAAAGAATGGTCTAATTCATAAAAAGAAATCCATCAGGGCCACAGTCTGTAGATATTTGTCTACAGGATGTGATTTGAAGAATTCTACCGAACACTCAGGATCTTGGTATATTTTCTCTCAGCAAGTTGTTTGGTTCTAACAAGTAGAGATTATATATTTTACCTTAAATGGATTCTCCTGATTGCCCCACTTAAAAATTCAAATGGTAATTATATTTACATAACATTTCAGAGAACTTCCAGATAAGTTATCTTACTGGAATCTATTTAATATCCCAGGGAGGGACATAATTCATTAAGTAATTATTGTCTATTAAAATCATAACTTTAATTAGCTTTCCCAAGATGGGTAGGCAAAGCCCTGAGAGAGTGTGATGCAGGAAGTGGCACATTTAGATGCAAGGGAGGATGGGAAATTTAAAAAAAAAAAAAAAAGACCAGGGCCAGGCTGTGAGTTGCTGGGTTCCACCCTCACCCCTGCCTGGGAACTGAACCCACAGAAGTACTGAGCGGGGGTGAGACAGACAGCAGAGACAGAAGTCACAAAGACAAATGTCACCCACTCTGGCTTTTGCCCAGGAAGTCTTAATTAAAGGACCCCGTGGTGCCACGCAGACTGATCTCAGGGCTAAGAATTCATGCCATTTCCAGAACAAAACAACTTGGCTGTGTCCCAGAGCACAGGGCTTGGTGCTTCCACCCAGGTTCTTTTCAGTAATTACTGAATAACCCTTTTGCTTAACCAGATATTATCCAGGAAACAAAAAGAAGCTTTGGTTTTGAGAATCCCTTCTGGTCCTCCCTTTCCACATGGTAGCACGTTCCTCCAGTATGGCAGCCCTGAGGCTCTGAATAATCCCTGCAGCTTGAGCCCCGAGCACTTCTGGTTCCAAGAATGCTCAGGAAGCCTGGATCCCCGTTCTTAGCTAGAGCTACAATTGTGGCCTGGGAACCCAGAGCAGCCTCTTCCTCCCACTGAGCTCCCATGGTAGTAGTGCTCTCCAGGCCTCCCTGTTTGCTCTGATTTGAGACACAGTGACCATGTGGCCCTGGGCTGTCCCCACACTCTATGGCCTTTACCATCTTCATCCATCAAAAGAAGGGCTTGAGTTTCACTCCTAGCTACACAGGAGAGGCCCCAGGGCACTTTATAAACTAAGGCCAGAACCACTCTCCGAAGGATTCTGGTTAATCTGTCTGGAGTGGAGCCCAGTCACTGATGTTTTATAAAAAGTTCTCCAGCTCTAACAATCCCCAGGTTAAATCATTGCTCAGTCTTAAAAACTGCATGATCCCTCCTGTCTTATCTCTATACTTTATTCCTTAAATTTATTATTTTCCAAAATTATTCATCTTTTTTTTTTCTTTTCCTTGGTTTTTTGAGAGGAAATCACCAAGTAGGTCAGCCTGGCCTTGAACTCCGTGTGTAGCCCAGGCTGGCCTCAAACTCCCAGTGATCCTCCTACCTCAGCCTCTTGAGTGCTGGAATTACAGGCTTGCAGCAACACGCCTAGCGTCATCTTTTATTTTCATGCTGCATTTATTTACAAAAAGCACTATGTTGTTGAAGAATGATTTGTTGTGATATGATTGACATATAATGCTACATATGTTTCAAGTGTACACTTTGATGAGTTTCCACATATAAAAATAGGTAGCTAGGCGTGGTGGTGCATGTCTGTAACCCAAGCACTCAGGAAACCAGGCAGAGGAACACTAAGGGTTTCAGGCCAGCATGGGCTACAAAGCGAGCTCAGGGCCAGCCTGAACTACATAGTGAGACCTTGTCTCAAAGAGACAGACAGACCGACAGAGAGGAAGGAAGAAACAAAGAAAGAAAGGATCAACACGTAGTGAGCATATCTATCACCTCCAAAAGTTTTCTTTGCTCCTTTGGTGATTCTCCCCGCCCCAAACCAAGTGTCCTAAATATCTTCCTTCACCTCCTTCTCCAAGCAACACTGATCTTCTATAGATGAACTGTGCCTTCTTCAAATGGAATCACGCAATACATATTGCTTCTTGACTGACTTATTGTTATTACAATCCTGGAGTTTAGATTTTTAAGCTCTTTGGGACCTAGGCCCACTTTTCTTTTCTTTTCTCTTCCTCCCAGTCCTCAGTCGGGGACTCAGAGAAACACTTAAGCACTATTTGCTTGATGGACAGAAGATTTTCATGAACTTGTCACAGAGCTTCAGCTGAGTGACCAAAAAGGGCCTTCCAGGTTAAGGGTCTTAGCCCACCATGCTCTCTCTGCAGGCTCTGATCAGCAGCTCTAACCCAGATGAAAACTAAAGCATGTTCTTAAACCAGGGTCTTAATTTAAGGTCGGTGGGCTGTTAGGCTCCAGAAAATGAGCATCCAGATGTTTGTTGGGGATGAAAGGGGCCGATGCCCACAGGTGAGAATCTGGGAAAGGTTTGTGGCTTTCACCAGTGTGTTTGCTTCATGACTGGGCACTTGGCCCGCACAACTGAGCTATGGGATTACTGTCACGCTGACTTCCTTTAGTGTCCCGCATGCATCTTATTGCACATGATGTCTTGTTATAAATCCTCAGCTATCTGTTCCTCCCTTCCTTGAGCTGTTTTGTTCTCTGCCTGCCCTGCTTGTACTGAAGCCTACGTCACCACTTACATGACAGGGCACTGTCTACTTCATGAGGACAGCATTCCTCTTCTCTGAGCCCTCTCATCAAAGCTACGGGTATTCTATTCCTTTTAATGCAAAGACTCCTCTTCCACTTAACAGTATACCCTGAATTCCTAGATACCATTAAGCTCAAATATCACAGATCTCCACTTCCTCAAAACCCCCAGAGCACTGGATGCCTTCCATCTCAGACAAGGTTGTCATTATAAATCAGTCTTATGAGAACAAGAAGCAACAGTAAGCAACACTGCACATTCACAATCTCGATCGAGAGATATTCCCTCCCCTCTACTTTGAACACAAAATATTTTTTTAAACAAGATTATGTCTGAGTTCAGAGAAGGCTGAGACCTCGAGTAGCAATTATCAGCTCCCAAACTACAGAACCATGCATTTGGCAGAGTAACATAAGTGCTGGATTCAAAGAGTCTTTCAGAAATAGGTAAACAAACAAAAATATTTCACCTGCTGGCCAGAAGCCCCCCCGCCCCCCACACACACTGCACCCACCAGCATTCCAAATCCACCTCAAACCCTTGCACATTTTGCAAAGGATTTGGTCTCTGAAACCCAGGAGCATTCTCTGGCTCCCTGCTGGCAGGAAGTATTGCATTTTAAAGTCTCTCTTCCCCTTCCATAATTTTCCAGCAGAAGAGCAAACACAGTACTGTGACCATAGCATTCGCATCTGGTTTCTACACAGTGCATTCTCTCCCTCAAAGGCAAACTTCTGAAAGTTACTTACTTTCCAGCAGCTGAGAAGTGGAGACAGGCGAGCCGGGGTTTGGAATCCGCGGGTGCTGATGTCAGCCTGCTTAAATAGCCGGGCCGGCGAGGAGGTCACTGATTGCACGTTTATTTACGCCTGAGAGTGTGTTCAAGCAAGGACCTGAAAAACCTGCCGCGTGGGCAGGAGGGAACCGACTGAGAGTCTGCCCAGGTTGCACAGCTCCTTGTTATTCAGGTTTGATATGCAGGTGGCGACTTCTGAGAGTCCCTTGGAACCTGCTGGTCGATATCTTCTTGCTGCTGTCGTCCTTCTTAGCTAGGTAAGACTCTTGGGCAGGACTAGAGGGGAGCTGCAGCCCAGAGATGGAGGCTGAGAAGCTGGACCCTGGACTGCCCCCAGCTTCCTTATTTGGAGCAGCCCCTTTTTGGCAGCTCAGGTCTAATGCCATCGATCTTACAGCTTTGCAGGCAGATGCCCAGCTAAGGGCTGGACAGCTGCCCAGTTAGTGAAAAGTTGTTTTCTTCTGGAGACGGAATGTACAAATAAGGAACAATGAAAGGCAGGGGACTGGCCAGGATGAGACAGTGTTAGTTCTCCTGCGACACTGTCCTCATGCCCATCTGTATGTTCTTTCTCCTTTCCTCTCCCCTGACTCTACTAATGAAATTCTGATCTGAGTTGTGCACAGAAGGAGTGTGAGAATCGGGGCTCGGCTGATCTTCCAGGGATGCTCCTCAAGACAAGGGTGGGTGTGTGGGTGGGAGGCTCAGGCAGCTGGGTGTTTATCTTTCTTTTATGAGCTAGATACGGCGGTTAGTAAGGCAACATGCTAAGTGGGTATGAATTGGGATGAACGGAGGGAGATGGTTGGGTGAGATCATTTATGGGAGTATCTGTGTACATTTGCTGGTCCGTAACGTGAACTGGAAAGTGCTACACGCACTGTATTTTTGACGTCACTGAGCATAGAACAGACTCCTCAATTCTCTTGGGAGCAACCTCCATCTGAGAAAGAAGAGCTGCCATGGTTTTGATTATTTGTTTCCTTTCCTCTTGGAAAAAGGGGTAATGTTTATAAAACATGTATGGGAAAAAGTGGAAACTGAGGCTGGGCTCCCAGACTAAGTTATCCAGGGAGTCCCTTGGCTTGTTGCCTGTTCATTGCCTGACTTCCCACAGTTCTATGGCCAGGTCTGGGCACTTTCTTGCCTCTCAGATTTCCTGAATGCAGGGTCTATGTCTTGTTCACTCTTGGACACTCACAGTGCCTGGCATGAGTTATTACAATGGCAATGAAGATGATAAATATGAGCTAAATCTGGAGAGACTGACTGTGTGCCAGGCTGTAGGCCAGAGACCTTGTTTGCTTACTGAATCCTCACAGCCCTGCAAATTTGTGTTTTCGTTATCGTCATCCTACAGATGAAACTGATACTCAAAAAGATTAAGCAAGTTGCCCAGGATCACGGTAAGGGATGGAGATGGAATGTGAATCCAGATCTGATTTCAGAATCTGGACTTATACTTAGGACTGATTTAAACCAATCTTTAGAAGGTTGCCTGAGGATGCTTTCATCTACTTGTAATTATTTATTTACTTGTCATTTGTCTTCCAGAATGACATTTCCATGATGGCAAAGACCTTGACTGCCATGTGCCCCGTTCCTGTCACAGCAGGTGCTCAGTAAGCACATGCTCACTGCTCAGTTCCGAATTCCGTTGGAGACTTTGCAACCCAACAGACAGGGTTTGGCAGATGCATTCTTTTGTTCTTGCATAATGCATTGGCTTCAAGGTGATTCTCTTTATCCAGCATATCACAGAGATGAAACTCAAAGTGGCTGAAACCGTGAAGCAGTTTTTACATCACTGAAGAATGCTGTAGGTATGTGGGTTTGGTTCTTCAGGGGTTCATTGCCTGACTTGAGCTAACTATATTAGCTCTCTCTATGCTTTTCTTTCTTTTTTTTCAAGAAAAGTTTGCTTCACCACTCAGCAAAAAGAAAACTACTTAATTCATAAGCAAGGGAAGTAGCTGGCTGCTATGGGTTTTCCCCTGTAGGCTGGCCCTTGTTTTTTCCCATCTCCAGAGTCCCAGGGATCAGTACACATTCTGTTAGCCTCTTGTCTTCTGCACCAAATGGGATCAGTGATGCTGCTGATTTCTTATAAAAATCGTACCCAGTACTCATAAAATATGGCAAAGCAGCCTGTACTGGTTTTAGGCTCGTTTTCCTATTCCTCCTTTTGTCTTAGATTTCAGTAGAATTTTACTAACCCCGTGTTTGCATCTGTTTCTGCCTAGGAACTGCAGCCACTGCCTGGGACAAGCAAACCACAGTCACAGTGCTCATGGTCTTTTTTCTTCTAGGTATTAAGAAACACAACATGTACCTGCAAATCAGTCATTTCTTTCCTTCTGTTTGCTGTTCCAGTTTTTCCTCACTGTAGGTGTTGGGAACACTTTTCTCCATGGTCACAGATCACAAAAAATAGGAGAAAGGAAGGGGTGAGCCAGATGTTCTGCTCTATCAACAATGCCCAGGAAAAGATAGATACTCCAGATGTGTTTGCTGAGTGACTGGAAAAATGATGGGAAGGGAAGAGTGAGGGCTTTTCAATCTGGTGGGTTGGGTTCAAGTGCCAGTCAGCGTTTGTGTTTACCAGTTATGTGACCCAAGTCAACTTACATTTCTCCTCTGAGCCTATATGTAAAATGGGAACATGGTATTTAGCTCATAGGTTTGGTGCAAGGAGTAACATTAATGTGGAGGAAGCCCTTAGCAGTAATGCCTAGGAGGCTGGCCCAATTGATGGTCGCCAATGCTGGAGTTACAACCAGGAGCCCATGGAGATGCCCATGCAAATAGGTGAACAGAAAGCCCCCCACTGCCACAGCCAATTACACAGAGGGCAGTGAGACTGGACGGTGGGAGCAGCTACTTTCTCCCTACTTACCGCTAGTGTAGGAAGCTGGTTCCTGAAAACTTAAGCCTCGGGGCTGGGGATTTAGCTCTGTGGCATAAAAGCCTGCCTTGCAAGCCTGTGGTCGTGAGTTCGATCCCCAGTACTGATAAAAAAAAAAAAAAAAACTAAGCCTCCCAGGATTCAAATCTGATCTTTGTAGAATAAGAGAGGAACGGGGTACCCAGACAAGGGAATCACGGTTGAAGCTATGAACTTATGGACCAACTGAGTCCCTGAGGAAGGTGTGGAAGTTCTCACCTACCAAGGTCTCTTCCTGGCTACCCTGGCCAGGCCTGCAGCAGTGTGGGGAGCAGAAGGGAAATGGCAGATGTGACAGAGAACCAGGACAACAAAGGGGCCCACACACAGAGCATGGAGGCATCTCCCTCAGCTCCTTTCGACAGAAGAGTTCTCGAGTTCCTTGATGAGGAGGCTGTGGAAGTTATGACATGATTACACTTCTTTCCTGGTGGTTGTTGTGGATATAGCAGTGATGCAGTCATCCTTTCGGTGAACTGTGCATGCTCCATTCAGAGCATGGATCCCACTGTCTTACCTAAGCCACCTGCTGTTTCTGAGCTGAGGTCAGTTGATGCCTGGAGGTGGGTATTAACAGAAGCCATCCTGTCTGCTGTGGCCCATGGTGCCTTTGCTCTGCTGCTGCCCATCCAGAGTGTCTCAGCCTTCCTTGTCATCTAGAGTCTAATGAAGGTGGAGGTCCCAAGCCTTGTGCTCCTTTGTCATCCAGTGTGGCAAAAGGCTGGAGGAGGGGAGAATCCTTGATAACAAGGAGGGGACACCACCTGTCCACGGAGTGGGGTTGAGATTTCTTCACCCACAAATACCTCATTCTTCTCTGAAGCACCAGGGCTTCTGGCTGCCGTCAGGAGCTGCCTGAGAAGAAACATGGTGACCTTCCCCGGAGGGATAGGGTGGCCTCCACAGGATGATGGGTGGGTGATCCGGCTGCGGATCAATCCATGGGTCTCACCTGGAGAGGGGATCGGGGATGGAGGCAGGGCAAGAGAAAAGAGAGATAGAGGCTTGGCGAAATTCCGGTCAAATCTCTTTATTTTTAAAAATGACTACAGCTTATATAGGGTGGAGGCTGGCTTCAGGTCAGGGTCAATGTACCCTATCAGGGATCTGGTCTAGGTCCCCAGTCTCCCAAATGAGTGTACAGCAAAGGCTTAAAATAAATGAGACAAGTGGTATGATTTTAGGACTCCAGGAGGGTCAAAACCTCTGCAGAGTTCAAGACTCTGGTGGTTAAGAAATGTTTTGTGGGTAGCCCATATTTATTTTTTCAGTCAAGGAAGGGGTTAGAGTGGAAAACCAGGAAACTCAACAGGATCTTGGGAGTGGTTTAAAAACTTTTCCAAATAGCAGATTATGTTAATTTAGGAGAAGTATCTTGACCTTGAGTATAATCTTGAGATGACTCATGAAGACATAGATGATTTTATGCTAAGGAGAGTTAATGTGAGATCTCAGATGGATGGTACTAATAATCCCAGTTCTTCCTTTTATCCCATAAGAAAATATGTAAACCAGTCACTGTGAATTTGTGGTCCCCAGCACTGCTCAATCATAATCCCCTAGCTCTTGGGTGAGGAGAGTCCCACAGTCACTACTGAAACCCAAGGATGCCCCGAGCTCACAGCAAGCAGCAAGTTGAGAGCTGGAAGAAAATATGCAGTCTCAGGGCAACAAGCTTGCCTGACTGGGCCACCACAGGTCACGCTGTTACAGGCTAGTTAGAAATATTATAGGCAGTCAGACAGGGCTAGGCCTTTGAAGAAACTAGTGAAATGACCAAATGTCTTGTGATCTTGGGAGTCACACACCTCTTGCTGTGGGCCAGATTTCAAGACAAAGGGCAAAACAAATGCAACCACACCCTAAGTATAAGCATTAGGGGTTAGGTATGGATGACCTTGAGAAGCCAGGAGTCACCATTCCAACCCCCTACAGCAAGAGTCACTGATCCATAAGCATGCTCACTTTGCTACATGTCTTGTTTCCCCATTTGTCCCTAATTTGGTCAATTCTACCTGAACAACTAATCTGATTGATTGATCATAGTTCTGTCCCACCCATGCTCATTTGCCTTGCAAGTTCCCAGGTTTCCCCACTTTAAACCTGCCTCCCTTCATGGTTTTACTCTATAAAAATCTCTAGAAAAGACAGAATCTTTGGCAAACCACTTGGGACTCCTTGTGTCTCTTTCCCTCAAACAGAAGCTTTTTTTCTCTCAATAAATGTTTCTGTTCTTAACCTCTGTTGTTTCTAATATTCATTCTTGGATTTTAGAGAACACGAACTCGTCCTAGACGTAGGTATGATATAGATTTCCTTATATCAACACAGACTTACCAGCTGAGTCTTGGGTGAGCCCCCAGAAAAGGGGGAAGAGCAGAGTCACCCGGCTGCATAGGCTCCTCCAACCCTGAGGGCTCTATGAGACCCTGGACTTTTGTGAGTGGTTTTTCGGGGAACCAGAGGAAAAGGAAAGAAAAGCTGAGCCTACAGAGCTACATTTTGATGGCAAAGCTGTACATTAAGATGCATGTTTGACATGGTGGAGAAAAAAAGAGCTGAGAATTATTAAGGTGGAATCATGGAAGGAGAGGGAGAGGGGAAGAGGGGAATTCCTTCCTCTTCTTACCCCAGAGGCCCACAATGGACCCCGGTGCAAATTTGCTGTACTGAGAAGTCTAGTCTGATGTTCTTTCTGAGGTTCTTCCTGTTTTCACTCCTGTCCTTCAAGGCAAGGCTCTCAGGAGCCATGAGAGGTTGGAGGTCCCAGGGGGCCATGGGGTGGACAGTGCCCCACTCAGGCCTGAGGGAGGGGTGGCCTCAGTGCCCAGGGCAGTTGCCCCTGCTCTGCATGTGCCTGCCTCACCTTGGAGCACCTTCCCCAGGGACTGCGGGCCAAAGGAGATCTAGCCAGAGGGCCATGCCCGGCACTGTATGTGTGTGAAGGGCAGCCACCAGGACCCTGCTCCAATGGCATCCCTCTCCTGTGGGTTTGGTCAGTGCAGACTTTCCACACAGTCCAGGGAGGCATAATGAAAGAGAAAACTCTGAGGTGGGGAGAGAGGAAGGAAGAGGAGGGAGAGAAGGCAGAGAAACAGATCATCTTCAGAAAGTGTCTGAAAGTTCTGATTTCTGCTTCTAACAAAGATTAGGCTATAGTCAGGCTTTGCTAACTAACATGGCGCGGTTCTGCTCTGCATCCTGGTAAGAACCTGCCTCTTCCATGGCTACTCAAGTCTCTGCAACCAGGCTCTGGCAGTGTCATGGGTAAGGGTCTGTGGTCCCCATTTCTGGGGAGAGTCAGCTCTGGGACCGGTCTTTCCAGCACATGCTGAGAATCTTCGGGAGGATCTGGGGACTTGGGAGTCACAAAGTAGACCCAACTGACTTCACTCTGATTCAGAGACAAATGGCAGCAGCACTCCTCAGGGCCGAGCCAGTAGATGCTCCATCTGTCCTAGAGCCAAATCAGGCTGCGAGCCATGCAGGCTGGTGTCCAGCTTTGTGGGGAAGACAGTGTAGACCTAGCTGAACCTAGGATGACTGACCACTTTCTGGGTTTCCAGAACTGATTGTCATCAGGTCAAGCCCTACATCCCAGAAAATCCCTCAGACTGGGCCAACAGGTCGCTTGGTCATTGTTTTGAAGCTCTCTCAGTCCCTAGCCAGCAATTTAACCTCTTCAAGCCTCTGTTTCCCCACATGTGAACCGAGGTTAGAGACACCAATCTTCTACAGGGCTTGAGGACCAGGGCTGATGTGCATCTGCACACTGCTTAGGAGGAAAATAGAGTTGCGAGAAAAAAATTTTAAAAGCCCACACTCTGTTTATTTAGAGAGGCAGATGTCTCCTCCTTTAATGCCGCCAGATTTTTCCAGCTGTGTGAAGAAGACCGCACTGAAGGACTCTGCAACACTTGTCAGAAAGCCTCCTCAGCCTGCAGGCCCCTGAGGGAGAGTGGGTTAAGGGCTCTCTCAGCCCTATGATTATCTGATTAGGTGTAAATGACAGCAGCATTTGCCAGTTTGCAGAAATCACTGTGAGCAACTCCCACTTGGGAGTCACAAATAGGGGATTACAAAGCCTTTTCAGCTTCTTTGCTGCCCCTCAGCTATTGTCTGCCGAGATTCTTAACTAATAGCCATGGTCTGAATGACTCCTTTCCTGCAAATGCTGTTTCAGGGCTGAAAAGGGAAAAGAAGTCAATGTTTTTTAAGGACTGCTTCGGTAGGCGTCTGCAGCACAGAGTGGATTTCACAGGCGTCTTAATCCTGGCAGTAAATGTTGAGGGGTGTCTTGGAGACCAGAAGCAGCGGGCAAGAACTCAACAACAAAAGGGCGGCAGGGGGATTACTTATTCAAATGCCCTGATGGGGGAGCAAATCAAAGACACCATAGAAAGCAAGTCACAGGCAGAGAGGGAGGATCCAGGCTTTTTCTGAACTTTGGAAGGAAGTGGCTGGCGGAATGGTCTTTCATAACTGGTCAGCCCTGGGCCCCCGATGATGTGCCAAGTGGGGGGATTATTCAAAGTGCAAAAACCTTTGTTATCTAGGCCTTCTCACCTCATCACAAACCCAGTAAGAGTCATTAGAATTGGTGCAGGGATCTGCTCGAAAGTAGAGATCTTGGGCCAGGGATTTGGATTAGCGGCATAAACACTTGTCCAGCAAGCTCAAGGTCGTGAGTTTGATTCCTGGTACCAAAGGGAAGAAAAAAAAAAAAAAAAAAAGAATAAAAAGAAAAGAAAGTAGAGATCTTCAAAAGTTGGAAAAATCTGGCCCCAGTGGTAATGAACTTGTTCAGAGATAATGAATGCATCCACAGCAGCTGATGGCACAGTTCTGCATTGGAGAGCATCTTTGGAAACAGGCAGAAAAGAGGGGCTCTGTGGTCTATATAAATGTGCTTATTTACATAAATACTAGGTGATTAGAGCTTTCCACTTCTGAGGGCCTCCGACCGGCAGGACAAGGGGAGCAGTGCTGCCTGTTTTGAGCAGATTACAAAACTGCCCGCCAGACTCCAGAGAAATCTGCAAAGTAGATGTTTTGAGGTTGCCAAATCATCTTTTGGCCTCTGATTCCCACCCTTTCCTAAAGAAAATTAAATTCTGGAACAGTTGATTTAAAAGCCAAGATATTTGATTATCTGAGTAATGCATTATGACACATTCACCATCCACTGCTGTACAATAAATTACCCCAGTGAACAACAGTAACTTCGTCACCACTTTGGACTCTGTGAATCAGGAATTTAGAGAGAAGTTTCAGTGGAGAGACCTTGGTTTCAGGTCCCTCAAGTGGTTATTGTAAGGCAGTGGTCATAGCCAGAGCAGCAGAGAGGACCGGAGCCCCTGCAACCTTGCCAAGCACCTCTCTCTTCAAGGTCTAGACTCTGTCCATGTGGCTCCTCCAGAAGTGTGAATCTGAGCATCCACTATGGCGCCCTTGGGCAGTTAGATGGTCCAGTGAAAGTATCCACTGGCAAGGCACCAGCTTTCTGACCTGACTTTAGCAATCACGGCAGCATCACATCTACAACATTCTGTTGGTTACAAGCGGTCACAGCCTACCTGGAGTCTAAGAGAGGGACATTAGCCATCGCCCCTTAGGGAAATGACAAGGTCCTAAAGGGGCCCTTAGGTAGGAACCACAGAGAAGACTCTCCGTGAAAAGAAGAGCAACCATCTCCATTTTGGATAAACTTAGCCCTATCTCCATGTACTGCCATGTACAGAGCTAGCTAGGCTATTTCTTTATTCTTTCAGTTGGTTTTAAGCAATGTAATGGGGCTGGCTGAGGAGCTGATGTGTAATCTCTGAAGCAAAGTGACAGGTCAATGTCACCCTGCTCAGTGACTACCCAAATGCATGGTTGAGCCGAGTGGGATGGAGAACCATGGTGGACGCTGTTGGCTGGAACCCAGCCTCGAGAAAGAGGCTGTGACTTCCCAGGGCAAGAAGGATTGTACATCAGAACTGAAAAAAAATTATTAGCAACTACCTCAGTTGATATGCAGATTGTTCTCTCTGTATTTTTGCCCTCTACATACCATAGAGGTGATCTCAGGCCTCCTACCTAGCCCAGCTCATGGTAGTCATGGCACTCATGTTTGTCCTGCCACTGTCACTGTCATTTGCCCCTGAGCCACTCCCCTTCTGGAGAATTAATAAAACCTGGAGTGGCCCCTGAGTCATGGCCTGTGTTCTGGTGAACCATCATCTTGGCTGGACTTAGGACCTCTTGGTTTCCTACAACTGTACATACATCTCAGAGTCTTCTTGCTGTGGTTCACACTGGAAGTGGTAGATTGGAATTGACTCACTAGAATTCCAGTAGCTTCTCCTTGAGATTACAATTGTAAACCTTCCTGGACCGAGACAGGACAGGACAGTGTTCTCTGTACAATGTGCAATGGGCACTTTTGTGGCCATCACTGCAAAATATAATAATGCCACTGGGTGTGAACGCTTGACATCACAGCCTTGTGGGGGAATACTTGTATTTTAAGAAAATAATACACTAATGCAAACAAGTCTTCAAGGGAGCAGAATAAGTATGGGAGGGGGTGTGTATATACGGTTCCCGAGGATAGAACAACCAGGTGAAACTTGTCATGCTTGTTTCTTAGGGCTGTCCTAAGAAAGGCCAAGGAGTGCCGTGCCCTGGAATTGTGTTGTCTCCCAGTTCTGGAGCTGGGAAGTGTGAGATGGAGCTGGCTGAGGACCATGAGAGGCAGTCTGACCCAGGCCTGTCCCTGGCTCCTGGTGCTCCGCTGTCCGTCTCCAGTGTTTCTTGGCTGTGGATGAGTTTCTGACATCCATTTTCATATGGTACACACCCTACGTATGTGTCTGGGTCTAAATCTCCCCTTTCTGTAAAGACACCAATCACAGTGGGCTAGAGGCCAGGCCTGCTCCCCTATGACCTCATCCTCACCAATCATGTCCATGTTCATATCCACAATGAGCCTGTTTCCAACTAAGGTCACTTTCCAAGAGACTGAGAATTTGGCAGGGGAGGCATGGTTGAGCCCACAATGTGTCTCATTTTCTGATGTGCCTTCTGAGAGTCTGAAGAGAGGCTCAGGGCACTATAATCCCAACATCCTAGGAAGCTGAGGCAGGAGGATTACAAATTCTGGCTCAGCCTGAACACCTTAGCAACTTCCTGTCTCAATCAATCCGTCAGTCAATCAATAACTGGGTTGGGGCTATAGCTTAGTGAAGGCCCTG